ACTTGCAAGCCCTGCGAAAGAACATTGTGCTTATACAAGATACGTACATATCATTACAACCAGGATGGAATATCCTAAACATGGCACTATAGCTACCTGAATTTAGTATGTTATATGACATTATATCGCATGATTTACGGCGAATAACGAAATCATTCCCACCAGTTTCCGTATTGCCATCACTAAACGTGAATTTTCTGTATTCATGTTACGTCTGTACAACTTTATAGTCGGTACGCTCAGCCGAAAATAATCGCGCTGGAAGTCTCTACACCCGAGCGAATTAAATCCAATCTCTGGGCCTATTCTTTCAAAAAAAGTTAAGAGATCGTAAGTTCATCAGCCAATCATTGACGGCCTTTCAAGCATAATCCACCAATCATAGACAAGAAAATAGAGCGTAAGTACTAACGTTCACTTAGCGAGCTTTGAAAGTATCCACCAATCATAGACAAGAAAATAGAGCGTAAGTACTTACGTTCACTTAGCGAGTTTTGAAAGTATGGCCCCTGGTCCAGAGTTCTTATTGTTTACATTTCATTACCTTTATTTATGTTCTAATAATTTTTACTTTTATTATTTGTATTTCAATATTTTTGCAGTATTGCTTTATTTGCCAGTTTGTCGTAAAAGAAAAAGGCAAGTAAACGTTCATTGCCGATGAATATGTGATTATTCTGAATTTCGTGTAACTCACGAACACCATACGTTTGTTTGAATGAAGTTTATTTATTCATATTGGATTTAAACGTGACTTTACCATATTATTTATTGTGATCCTTCGGCGTGATGATGGATCCTTCAGAGCCTGCAGGATTCTTCGACAGATCTTGCGTGCGAATTCTTTTATTAAACTGTTGCTGCTGATTGAACTCAAGACAATAAATATGGCATAAAAAAATTATCAATAGAATCAAGTACGATTGGCACTAAATGCATCAAATCCTGACACGATTATAAACAGTGCTGGTATTCATTTCTAGCTGAAGAATTTTGAAGATTTATTATTTTTTTTTGGTAAATATTTATATCTTGTTCGTCATTTTTTAATGAATGCGTATATTTTTAGTCGCTTTCTGTCATGGAAATGACGTCACATTAAACTATTGGAATAAACCCATATTAATTTTTCGCCGCTTTTTCCTCTTGCTATATGATTGTTGAAATTCTCTACAAAGCAAAAATCTTGTTTTTTCTGAACTTTTTTATTTTCATTTATTTGCTTCTTTTAAAATAATATTAATAAAATGACAATACAGCAACACTTTCCTCCTACTATATCTGAGATACTTCTGAATGATGCCATGTACATTGTACATATCTCGAAATTTAGTGTTTCAAAAATGAATGGAAAAAATGTGCTATGGAAGTCAATAATTCCACATCTCTACTCATAAACTCTACTAGTTTTGTGCAAAATTTCTAGCGTTTAGATCTTTCTGCCTTACCTACACCTGAGCTCGGTCCTTCCCCTTACGTGATGTCCCCACACCTCAGCGTGGAGGCTCACCCTCTCTCCTGGTCATCCTGTAGTAGGAAGGAAGTCACCCAGTTCTTCGAGTGAGTACAGCACCGATAACCATACTTTCCGTGCCTAACTTGCCTCTTCTCTTGTGTCTGCCTATCCTTTTCAGCTCATTTTCTCATTTATGGAGAAAATGCACTATGGTGCTCGCCATGTCCGTCTGTCCGTCCGTCCGTCTGTCTGTCCGTTCGTGACTTCACGTTTTCCTCAACAAGAAGCCCTCTGTCACTCACTGCATGCAGTGAGTGCTGAGTTATATTTTGTTACCTTGTCTTTATATATCATGTGCACATCGTTTACTTCAAATCAAATTTCTCTTGCTGCATTTCTATTCGAATCTATTTTTCAGTTTGAAGTCATTTTTCTAGCTATTCGTACAAACAATAAAAAATGTTTTATTTTCTACTATCTAACTTCAATAATGAAAGTTAAATTCAATTTGAAGTAGGCTCAGGAATAATGCAAATGTGATTTAACTTTGATGAACAATATTTTGATAACTGTAACCTGCGCAGGGCTAAATAGCCAAGCAAGCCTCACTTTTGTATTCAGGGTACGTGCAAAAAAAAAAAAAAACTCGTCAAAACTTGCCTTTTTGTTCCTCTTTGCTGTAGACGTTGGACTTTATGAGCGGAGTGAGGAGAATTTTTATAATGTGTGCGTGTTGTGAGAAATCATATAGAACGCGTAAGTAAAAAAAGCGTTGCTTGGAGACGTTGAAAACTGCTATTACTTCAACACTTTTGCTCCATGACTGACATTAATATTTCAACACGAACCATGTAACAATATCATAATATAACAAGTACCGATAGTTATACACTGAATTTTACACTACATGAAGATCAGCTTGCAGCAAGGCTACTGTGACCCAGTATATGCAAATAATGACTTACTGGAAATTTTGGCGCGTAAAGCACGCGAAATGCTCTTGCATTTTTTTAATTAATGAAGAACTTCACAATCATCCACCCTAAACCTGATCATTGAGCGTCGTCTTTACGTACAAAGACACCAGCTTTGTGACACCAAATTGTGCCTTTAGGTCAATTATAGGACGTCTTCATCCAAGGTCACGCTGATACACCGTCTTCGTCGTCCACCGTCTTCAAGCCGAGGAGGTCTGCCTCGCCACTAAAGGCGTAGGAATTAGAAACTTTAAACCCACAGCAAAATATTAATTATGAAAATATAACTGAGTTGCTTTGGTGATGGAATTTCCGACCATTCGCAGCCGGGAGTGGGGGGCATGTTTGGATGACATTGTCGGGTGCCATGTTTGCTGCGGTGCAGCGTTAATGCTGTAATGCTGCGGTGCTGCGTGCTTATAGTTACTGACTAAGCGTCAGTCTTGCGTAACTGAAAAGTCATACAGCATTTAGTAAAGCAGCATTACTGTTGCATTAACAGAATAACACTTATGCAGCACCAGCAGCACGTTACACTGCAGCACTAACACAGCGCTGTAGTAAACGCTGCAGCACTACAGCAGCACCAGCAGCACAACGTTGCAGCACCAACACAGCGCTGCAGTAAACGCTGCAGCCAACAGCGCTGGCTGAGAATGTGTACCATCAATTCGGTTGTGTTTACATCTTCAGAATAACGGTATAGAGAAGCTGTAACCTGGGAAATATATGACCGAGTGATGAAGGTAGCAAGCAACTTCCGCTCACTGCAGCATCGAGCGTGCAACCACTTCACTGCTTCACGTTATAACAGTGCAATCTCTTCATAAATAATTAATTCAAGGCGCAATGCACTGCTTCACGTGCGAACAGTGCAGTCGTTTTATAAAAAAAATTAAAGACAAAAGTGAAAGACTCACGACACGGAACTCGCACCCTTCTTTTCAATCTTGTAATCATTGAACTAAAATTTTTATCGTCACGATAGCTGATGGCGAAGACCGGTTTTCGTTATTGAAATAAACTGGCCAGTGGTTGGCAATGACCAATAAACCATTTGGCCATCAGTTTCTGTCATTTTTATGAAAAATGCGAGACATAAACAATCCTCCTCCTCATCCTGAGCTTCCACAGAAAGATTTATGACAGCTCTTGGTCTTATAACTTGACATCAGATGGCATTAGTCAGAGGGACTGGCACTCCTCGTTTAGGTTTATACGTTTTTAACTAGTACGCTGTCAAAAATATCTACGACAAAGTGAAAACTCTGAGAATTCCAGGTTTTTACATAAGCAGGAAACAAAATTTTAAAAATATTGTTGCATCACACGGCGTGTGATGCAACTAAAAAAACTAAAGTACACTAAACTTTCTGCTCTTGNTAGCGGCAAATGAAAGCACTCTCTACACCACGCTCTGCATGAGACAAACTATCCGATAATAGGTCGGGAACGAACACGTCACGTCGCAGATCTCCCTGAAGATTTCTTAGTAATCATTAAAATAATTTTGTAATAACTCCAAGACAACTAAAAACACAGCTAGTAAAGAAAACAAAATATAGTGAACGATATTCCATCGTTCACACGCAGAACTTGCAAGCCCTGCGAAAGAACATTGTGCTTATACATGACACTAATCATTACAACCAGGATGGCATATCCTAAACATGGCACTAGCTACCTGAATTTAGTATGTTATATGACATTATATCGTATGATTTACGGCGAATAAGGAAATCATTCCCCACCAGTTTCCGTATGGCCATCACTAAACGTGAATTTTCTTTATTCATGTTACGTCTGTACAACTTTATAGTCGGTACGCTCAGCCGAAAATAATCGCGCTGGAAGTCTCTACACCCGAGCGAATTAAATCCAATCCCGACTTTCTGTCAAGACATATATACCTTCGTTGTGATTCATTGTCACTGTGATGGTACCGATTGACTTGTGGCTTCCATTTTTTTTCTTTTAAAATAAAAAATAAACACGCGTCATCCATCGTTCATACATAAACAATTTCAACTTTTTTCTTTTCATTTTCGATGCGGTCTTAGAAACTGCAAATCATCTCCTCGTAAACTACAAATCTCCAAATAAGAGTATCGCATTTTAGACGTCCATAGCAACATTTTAGGTTTAATGGGCCCCATAAGACTACTTTGGGCGATAACTTCAGGTTCACTAAAATTTCAAAAAGGCCCCGTCAAGAATTCATGTGGGATGATGTGGCCCAAATGCGGCCTTGCGAAGGCCTCAGGTGGCATCAGCTCGAGGTCTCAAATCTCTCGTGTTTCAAAAATGCGCTCAAAATCCTCCTTAATTACGCAAGTTTGACAGCGCCCGCCTTAAAACTGCACCGCTCAGCGTATAAAACTCAAATTGGCTACATTTGCATGAGGGAATTACTTATGGCGAAACTCTTCTTGCTACCCTCAGGGGGGAACAAGGGCAGGATAATCCCAGTTCTAGGCCCATTCTTTCAAAAAAAGTAAGAGATCGTAAGTTCATCAGCCAATCATTGACGGCCTTTCAAGCAAAATCCACCAATCATAGACAAGAAAATGGAGCGTAAGTACTTACGTTCTTTACCTCTTGGGTTACCTCTTGGGTTACCTCTTGGGTTACTTCTTGGGTTACCTCTTGGGTTACCTCTTGGGTTACCTCTTGGGTTACCTCTTGGTTACCTCTTGGGTTACCTCCTTCGTTACCTCTTGGGTTACCTCTTGGGTTACCTCTTGGGTTACCTCTTTGTACAAAGAGCAAAGCACTTTTAGTCCTTCTGAGGGTTGTCCTGACCAAGTTTGCCCCGAAGTGTGTCAATATTTGAACACTTTTGACCTAATCATTTCCCGTATCTGTGAGTTCCATGCGTATCGTTTTTCTCGATGCTCACATTCAGGAGACCATTGGCGCGATTCTGTAAGTTATCCATGGTATTTGATACGTCGATTGAATTTATTAAATGTTTGAATGATATTATCGATATTGAATGTTGATTTAATATTGACAATTGATTGAATGATATTTGTTTCGTCGAATCGTGATACTTTGTGTGGTAGCAGAAGCTGGCAGCATATACGCCCTGTACTGATAGCTGCTTGATGTACGTATGTACATGGGGCAACATTCAGCTTGAAATGAATAAATGTTTACTACATTGGCTTTTCTATTTCAAACATTATAATATGTGTTTAAAAAATCCTTAAAATGAAGTCAAGCTTTCGATTCTAATGTACAAGCAGGTTAGCAACGCTCGTCAGATTCGATAAATAATTTTCCCTGCAATTTTAGAGTCCTAGCTATCACATCTCGTTTAAATGCTCGCCAACGGTGAATTTGAAGTTAGCCACGGTTAGTACTGGGAGTGATGCTTCACATCTAATATAACGTTGCTTCATCAAGTGTACAGATTATATCGATGCATAAGCGAGTACAGAGATGTCAAAGCATCATCAGAGTTAATGAACCAGGAATGACTAATGAACGAAAAAAACGTGTGATCAAATAGGAATGAGTTCAAACATGGTACCACAAGATTATCGGTGGCACTTCTGCACCCATTTCCAGGCATATTTAATTTTGTTCTGTCCGCCCCCAATACGGAGTTTAACTGACGATCGGAACGAAATGAAACCTACTCAAAATATCAATATCTGTCNAACATTGAATAAAGTAACGCATTTTCCCGGTCAATGCAATAAGAGCAATTTAAACATCGAATATAGCAACAGAGTTTCTCTATCAATCCAATAAGAGCAATTAAAACATTGAATAAAGTAACGCATTTTCCCGGTCAATGCAATAAGAGCAATTTAAACATCGAATATAGCAACAGAGTTTCTCTATCAATCCAATAAGAGCAATTAAAACATTGAATAAAGTAACGCATTTTCCCGGTCAATGCAATAAGAGCAATTTAAACATCGAATATAGCAACAGAGTTTCTCTATCAATCCAATAAGAGCAATTAAAACATTGAATAAAGTAACGCATTTTCCCGGTCAATGCAATAAGAGCAATTTAAACATCGAATATAGCAACAGAGTTTCTCTATCAATCCAATAAGAGCAATTAAAACATTGAATAAAGTAACGCATTTTCCCGGTCAATGCAATAAGAGCAATTTAAACATCGAATATAGCAACAGAGTTTCTCTATCAATCCAATAAGAGCAATTAAAACATTGAATAAAGTAACGCATTTTCCCGGTCAATGCAATAAGAGCAATTTAAACATCGAATATAGCAACAGAGTTTCTCTATCAATCCAATAAGAGCAATTAAAACATTGAATAAAGTAACGCATTTTCCCGGTCAATGCAATAAGAGCAATTTAAACATCGAATAAAGTAACATAGTTTCCCTATCAATTCAATAAAATGAATTTAAACATTGAATGAATCACTCCATATTACCGCGCCAGGGACGCCGTGCGAGCTTCACTGTAAGCCGGACCACCAGTACTACAGCGAGAAGTTGCTCTCCGTCGTCACGGACGGCACGCCTTGTCGTCCCGGTACCAGGGACATGTGCATCAACGGCCTCTGCAAGGTAGGACATCAATCTCATCATCACACAACCAGGAATACCATACAACTTATCAACTGAACAACGGGATTACTTTAGAAAGTTTTCATTCACAGTAATGCTCACTTTGAATGCCAAGATTACCCTACACCGTTGTCATTCATCGCCAAACTTGGTAGGTTGGTAAAAAGAATTTCTCTATAGAGTCCCCTATCTGCAGGAAGTCCCCTAGAGTCTTCTATTTATATAAGCCTTATTTGTAGGAAGTCCTCTAGAGTCTCTTATTTGTAGAAGTCCTATTTATAGGAAGGCTTCTAGCGTCTCCTATTTACAGTCACGGATTCAATTGGCATTCTTCGCAACCTTGATTAAACTCATATTTTAATAACCGTAATTTTTTCCTTGTCACATCTGAAATCTGATTTACTCTGCAGTACTAAGTTACCTACAAATTGAATTCACGCGAACACTGGCAATATCACTTTTCGCCTCGGACAATCGTGCTCACCTTCTCAATGTTCAATTTCCATACATATTATCCTTTAACTCGCCGCCGCTACACGCCAGTCTGACCAGATCAGAGGGAGCCGGAAGTTTCATCAGAGCAACACCGGCCACAAAAGGCCGCCATTTGGCCCAGACAAAACTGGACACAAAAGGCCTCCATTGGGCCGCGTGATGTGCTTAGGCAGGCGGAGGTCTATATAGGAGCGGAAGGAGAATGTTGCAGCATTGTTCCAGTGGAACATCCAAATCAGTCGTGACGATGTTGCTGTATATTTCTACATAAAGATTAAAATCCACCGAGTCGATGCTAAGCATAGTTCTGGAGGAAGATCCAAATGAGCTGGGTCAATGTTTATCATAGTTCTAGCGGAAGATCCAAATCTGTCGGGTCAATGTTTAGCATAGTTTGGAAGAAAGGTCCAAATGAGCCGGGTCAATATTTATCATAGTTCTAGAGGAAGATCCAATTGAGCCGGGTCAATGTTAGCATAGTTTGAAAGAAAGATCCAAATCAGCCGGGACGATTTTCAGTTGTATAATCAGCTATCACCGACACCATGCGATAAACGTGGCCTCTGGCAAATGTTGCCAGTTCGGGTGGTTCATTAATTCTTGACACTATCCCTCAGGCGAACAACCGAAAGATGCGGTACAAGGTTTCGTACCTTAAAGTTAATTAATTAATGTTTTACGAAGATGAAAAATGACACTCCGTTGGTATTGATTTTTTAGAAATTTCATTCTACACACGATATAGTTTTATGGAAGATATAATCTGAATATTATATAGTACCTACTGGAGCACCAGGAACTATGAAGCTCTACGCAAGCGTTATATGCGTTGCAGAGCTTCTGACATGCAGAGCAACAGCGCTACAAAGCTACAGGAGTCCAGATCAGCTATAGTGCTAGGTTACTGGGATGTACTGCACCTGCTGCGTGGCCTTTGACCTGCAGAGTTACTGCTACATGTATGTGGCAGGGCTGCAGAGCTAGTGCAATGCCGGGCAACTACCTTGGTAATCTTGGTATTTGTTTGGGACGTAGCAGTCCCAGGCCACGATGGATCGCCGCCTCTGATTATCGTTCATCCGCCCTCATTTGGGACACCTGATGCTCATTTCATCACCGTAACATTTCATCGGTGCAGAGGTATTGCACCTGCAGTGGTGCAGAGCAGCAGGTCTGACAAACGGGCTGAGTCCAAGCCTCCAAGGCAACTAGACTGCAGAGCGAATTATTTTCATGGTAACCACACTGCAGAGAAGCTGAGCGGCTGAGCTGCAGGACTACTTTGCTTTTTGCCAGGGTCCTAATTGCAACCGCTCCATGAGCGCTTCTTTATCCTTGTGTCCAAATCCAGTAATCCAGCTTAACAAGCGAGCGGCGCGCTCTTTAGCGGCGATGAATTGACGACCAAGTCCTTCATTAAGCCTCGTGTCTAAAGCTGACGTCGCTGTCCCTGTTCATCCTTTGTATTTTGACGCTGGCGAGTCATTATCAGACTTTTTTAAAATCATCCCTTTTCAAAAATAATATTTTATTACAAATCGCAGCAATTGATTATAGATCATGGGTGTTTCTATGACAACGAATTTCATGCCATCACCGACATAGGACGCCGAAAAAGTGAGCCCGAAACTCACAGTACTAGATAAAGAACAAGGTAGTACTGAATAAATTGCGCATGAACCCTTAATTAATGTTTCCGTGATATTTGTTAAATTTAACAGCGCTCGTAACATGTTGCTTCCATTAAAATTTCTGAATGCACCAGAAAGAATTGCAATTACGCGTGAAATATACATTTAATTTGAATTTGAAATCAATTTACAGACATTCAATACTTCACTTTTATCAAAATGCACTATACGTCTCAGCTTATAGCATGTCTTTCGTTCGTTAATTATGCACGGTCGCCCCACATATGAATTTTTGGAGGAATCTATTACCATCAATTTCTTGTGAGAGCCGCTAGAAGCTCATCGTTTATTTCAGAAGTTAATTATAAGCAGCTATATAAATGTCCTTTATATTTTCATTCTGCTTCAGGATTTATTTTCTTTCGACATATTTGGGGTGCATAAGGTTTTGTCATTCGCCGACAGCCAGCGTCTCGGTTTCTGACATTCTAATCACCGAGCGAGCATAAACTCTCATTTTTTTGGGGACAGTTTTGCCGCACTGCATCGGAGAGCTGGACGATTTCGCGAGGTGATGTTTTTAGGCCAGGGAAAATGATTTGAATAATTTTATGCATTTCATTTTTGGCAAAGAAGCATAGAGTAAATAATGAGGATCTGGAGATCTGGAGAATAAAAAGTGCCTTTAGAAAATTGACTGAGTCTCCTTGACAGAACATCGAAGATTTCTTGTTTGAAAAAGCTTTTCGAAATTTGAAGATTTACGATAAGAAACGATTCAACATGATTCGTGAATTCTTGCAATGAGCGATAGAAATGACTTGAAAGAGTTTCATGATAGTAGCTCGTCACTATTATTAGTTCTTCATACTTTTTTAAGCTTCCATTCAACATTATAAAAAATATAACTCAGTACTCACTGCAGTGAGTGACAGAGAGCGCATTTTCTCGTCGACGAAAACGTGAAGTCACGGACGGACAGACGGGCGGACGAACAGACAGACAGACGGACATGGCGAGCACGATAGTGCCTTTTTTCCATCAATGAGAAAATGCGCTAAAAAGACGGATTTTTCATCTTCTGAAAAATTATTAACGTTAGCAAGAAAGAGATGTCTTGATTTAGAAATGTCAGTCTCGCCTTACTAATGCGCAACTAACTGTCAAATGTGCCTTATAATTATGTATTCCAAACTAATGTAGAATCATGCTGAGTAGTTCAGGTTTATAGCGGTTTAGTGCCTTGTGGTTTTCCACGCAGTTTGATTCGTTGCCTCACGCCTGGCAGCGCAGGATGCGAGCTTTGACATGACCGCCCTAGGAGAGACCCTAGTCACAGACGACGTGGCTGCTGGTGACGTGAAATACGACCGTCGCTTTGTTTATGATTTAACCGCTGGCGGTAACGACGTGACGATGTCTTAGAGTGGTCGTTAGGAGTCTTTTAGATGATCGTAATGGCGACTCGTCGGGGTTAGGCTCGTGCAGAAGCTTTAAATCAACTGAGTCCTAAAAAAAACTATAGGTCAAGAGAGCTCTGTTTGAAACATGACGGATTGTGCGAGGGAGACTCCGTTTGGTTCTTGGTTTCTTCTGAGACCTTTATGAAGGTATCATTTATATGCCAATGCAATCGTTGAACATAATTACTTCCGTCAAAAATGCCGTCAATTTGACCCAATTATCACTTGTTATCCAGTCTTATCATTACCAATCTTTCACGTCGGGCACTCTTCAATAAATGCCTGTACATTTTCGGCGCCGGTGTTATAGATGTTTATACACCTCAACTAACCGGCATAATTAGCCTTCGGTGAATGTCAACAAAAATGTTGCAGTTATGGTTCAAACATGGATATTTTAGGATCCATTGACGCCAGCACACACGAACTCCAGGTTCTATCAAACAGGCATAATATTGTCTGTGTCTCTCTTAGGTTGTCAAATCAAAATATCTCTTAATAGTCAAATTAAAAAACTTTCATATAGTCTAACCACTTTCGTTCTCATCGACCTTATGATGCGAGCTTCAGGTTTTGTTGTGTGTTAATGTTTTTACTGCATTACTCCTTCACACGGCCCTCGCGAATAACGTTTTCCGTATTAACACGAACTAATTTTAAAACAGACATCGGCGAATCGATCTTCTTCATCTCGTGCCTCAGTCTTAAGCGAAAATGAGTTTTCATGAAAGATGTCCACAGTCATTCCGGTTTAGCCTTTCGTTGATAAAACTTCAGGTTTTGTGCCTGTCACCCTGACCTTTAAACGGGCGTTAATTTTTCCTGTTTTTTGTTATGCCAGACGAGCGTTGTTGCTGTCGTTGTTGTTGCTGCTGATTGTTTTTGTCACTGCAGGGCGAAATTGCCAGGGTGGTGCTGACATGCCTTTATGGCCGCATTACAGAAGGCCTTTTTGCGGCCACCTACGCGAATAACAGAAGGCCAGTCTGCAGCCACCCCTGATATATCAAGGCCCTTTCAATGAGGCTGCCGCCCGACAGAGCCACCCTGTCATATCCTGGACACGCCCAGCACGCCCCTAATTAGAGTATTAATTGGACTCATCCTGTCTGAGTCTCATATTAATAAGAAGATAAAAATTTGCTGCAGCATCAGCGTTGATAATAACAAGCAACACATGAAGTAAAGAATTTATAACATGATCTGTTAGCTAAATCATGAGATCAAATTTGATCCTAAGCTTGAAAGTTGTCTCGTATAAAGTCGAGCGTTTTTGAGCCGGCAAGCTTACTGCGGTAATTGCGACGCCAGAACAACCTGCAATACATCACTGTGAGTATACATCACCACACTCNCACGAAACACGCCTTGATGCAAAGCGAGAGCATTTGATTATTTGCTAGGAAATTACGATGTTTTGAACAAAACCTTACTTTCAATCACCTTTTTTATATAAAGTTCTACTTATGGCGAGCGTCGTTAAAAATTATAGAAGGAAATTTCAACTTGCCAGTTCATCTTATATGAATTGAACTGCCAAGACCGATTTGAACAGGCCAAGCATACACAATGATTGATCATGGCATCAGCAGAGTCGCACCTTGCAGGGCCAAAAAAGGTGGGCACATGTACTAAAAATATGCACATCTCGTTTACCCTACATAATTAGTATGCATGGGAGTCGCATGAGGTGCTGTCATGAGCCTAGAATGTGAGCAAGAGCCAAAAAATGAGTCTCACTTTGATGGAACTAAACAGATCAATATGGTCCAATAAAAGAAGCGCATAAATCCTTGAGTTTCTCGGCCCTCATAAAACTTCGTTTATTATTTCAATTTCCTTTTCTGTCTCTCTCTCTTTCTTTTGGTCCATCTGTGCCACCTCTTGATTTATTCAAATTCTTTCTTATAGTGACCGTAACAACAAGTCAACAACAATGTCTGGGCCGCTCGTTTCGTTAGGACACAGGATGGCGTTTACGCAGCAGCCAAAAAAACGGCGTTTGCAAAACCGCGAAAACGACGTTTGCAAAGCGGCGAGAACGGCAATTATGAAGTGGCCAAAACGGCATTTACGAAGTGGCCAAAACGGCTTAAGGGCCGCTGACAGACGCTCGCCAGTGTGACACTAAGCCTGTGAGTAACCTCCCCGAGAGCCGCTCAAGCCACGTCTCAAGACCAAAGTTTGTGCGATACTTCAAAGTTTAAGCCTAAATCCCAGGCAACATTCCTAAAGCCCTCATAATTCAACGGCCATGAAACTCTTTGGTGCTATAAAGCGGCCTTGCATGCCGCCGACCTAGCTGTCGATGGATGGAAACTTTTTGCAGGATAGTGAAATTTTGCAATTTAATCTTAATCGGTCGGTCAATGGCAGCTGAGTCAGTTATTTTGTGAGCACAATTGCGCACATTCGCACGAAAACAGACAAGTTTCGTGCAAATAATGTACGAAACTACATAACAAACTTCAAACTACGAAATGCGTCCTCATTATTATACTGATCCACTTGGTAAAACTTTGTCCGCACTGTTGCCGTTGCAGTGTTTGAAAAGAATACAAGACTGGGATTATTTCCATTCATTGTAACATGAACAAATCAATCTCAAAGAACTGAGCGGTTAGGGCTATTAAGTCACGAAACATGCCTTGATGCAAAGCGAGAGCATTTGATTCTTTGCAAGGAAATTACGATGTTTTGAACAAAACCTTACTTTCAATCACCTTTTTTTATATAAAGTTCTATTTATGGCGAGCGTCGTTAAAAATTATAGAAGGAAATTTCAACTTGCCAGTTCATCTTATATGAATTGAACTGCCAAGACTGATTTGATCAATGTCCACGAGTACATTGATTCGCGCTGCAGAAGTTTTCGAAATACGTAATAGAAGACATCGCCTGAATTCGAATGTCAATAAAGGCTTTCATGTTAATTATGATGGATTAAAGCCGTTTAGTTTCGCATCACAAGAAGAACCAGAAGGAAACAAGAAACACAAGACTACAGAAAATCTTTCATCGCTTTAAGTAACATTAACAGTCTAAGGCGCTGAGGACACGACTGAAGCTGAAGTTTTTAACATGGCTCAGTGAAATGAGATGAACATGAAATCGAATTTGTTCGAAGTTACGATCTTGCAGATCGACTCCCCACGGACTTCAGCCAGCATTCCATCACTTAGGCCAATACTGTCCTTCGATCATCTCCTTACTTCCTTGCAGGACGCTCCTGAGGCGAACTCTGGCCCTATACTCCGACTCATTTTTGCAATTTAAAGGTCCTTCAACTCGTAGGAGTTCCTTTTCTTCTGAAGATTCACGATATTAGTAAATATATGTAGTTATTGTGTTGTTTGAGTTGTTATGAAGTTATTTTGTCCTGCTTGCTTGCTTGCTGCATCGAGAGTTGACAACAATAACAAAATGAAGCAGGAAAGATTTTTGCAGTTGAGTGTTTGAGCCTCATAAATCACGACATGTTCTCAGATGACTGACAGACACGCTACGACAGAGATACTTTATGTTGTACATAAGTATCTTAAGATACTTTATGATAAGATACTTTATGTATACATAAGATACTTTATGTATACATAAAGCATCTTTAGATACATACATAAGATACTTTATGTCGTACTTTATGTATAAGCTGCAGTCTGGCAGAGCTCGCGGGGCAGGGTCACTGAGTCCGCTCTAGGCGTTTCTTCTAGACAGTGTAACTCTCTCTAGAGGGCGCCACTCTAGCAGTGACACTCAGCAGGCTACTCCCTCACTCTCTATAGCTCATTCTTGAGTGCCGCCCTTCAAGCGACGTGCGCCCAAACTAGTGTTTCCTTTTCAGCCTCCGTCGACAAATTATAAATAATTCCTAAGTCATTGCATGCGCACAGTCCAAGTCAATTAAAATAAGTATGTTTTAATTGCAGGGCTGAATGCATTTTCCGCTAATTAAGTAGTCCTCGTAAAAAAAGCGATAGCTTTATAGCATCAAAATCCTTTCTAATATATTTGGTCAAAGGAGAAGTTTTCAGATCTTACGGAGACAAATCACGAGCATAACAAGAATCGGCGCCAGACCAGACTTGGCCTTATCTTCAGCGCCGTTATTTCTATTCTATCATTGGTTATCTTTTGTGGAAGGTCTCGCTAAAGCCAACTATCTATAATCATGTCAACGTCGTTACCCATTACCCTAAAATATTCTCGATACAAATCATTCTGATTTAACATAAACATTATAAAGTTACCGCCGCTTCAACTATTTTAAGTTCACGCACTTCCCAATTGATTTGGCCACTCTTCTAACTCTATTTTTACACTCCTTCGCGTATAATTTGACGCTATGTTGACACTTTACAAGTATACTAATTACTCTTTATAATAGCTACTTCACGTCGCCCAATCATGTCGTGAAATCAAAAAATTTGGATTCCTATAATAAATATTCAATCAACACACTTTGAGTTTTTTACTCAAAGAATCATTTATTCTTTGTGTTTCAGTGTATCCTTCTTTTGAGTATCATTGTGCGCTGCTTTGTCCGTAAGGGCAGGGTGGCCCAGTGGTTACAGTTCAGAGTACCAAGATTGGCGCAGAGAGGCGCGGGTTCGATCCCAGCTCTGTGCGCCAGTTTCTGGTCAGAATCGGCGAGGAGGCCGGGCGGTTAAGCATAGCAGAATTGTAGCAGTGAGTTGCGAGTTCGAGACCGCAAAATGCTGTGAATGTTCTGCGATGTTAAGAATCGGCGACAGGCCTACGGCCTAATAACGCTGAAAACGCTATTATTTTTATTATTATTATTATTATTATTATTATTATTATTATTATTATTATCATTCTTTAACAATTGTGTTGCACAGCGCGTGTCGTGCGACTGGTCTATCGACGGCACGGCACAGGAAGATCGCTGTGGGTTATGTCACGGTGATGGCACCCAGTGTGTCACCCATCGGGGTGAGTGGCGTCCCACTGGTGGGTCGGGGTACCAGCCCGCCACCCAGCTGCCTGTGGGCGCCCGTAATGTACGGGTGAGCGAGGAGGGCGACACCCACAACTACCTTGCTCTCTACCATGACGCTGCACATCGCTACCTGCTCAACGGCAATCTGTTAGTGGGCTTTGATTGACTGAGATCAATTTATGTGATTTATCAATTTATTCATTAATGAAATGTGTGAATTGATTCATTTATGAAATTGGTCAATTGATCCATTAAATAAATTGATCATTTAATGCAACACAGGACGATTCAGTGGTCGGGAGAGTACAGCCTGCCGGGGGGTGGCCTGCTTCACTACAAGAGGGAAGTTGACATCGAGGAACTGTTCCTGCCTGGACCCCTCACGGCTACCCTCACTCTCATGGTGCGTCCCCTCACCCTCACTGTAAAAGAATTTATTACATCATCTCCGCATCGCCTCTCGCTGTCAATATTCACATAGTAGTATTTTTGCGGCGATTCAAACTTATGGAAGGACAATAAAAATCCAGGGCTTTTTACCCCTACATCGGATCTTGGAAGCCATTTCTTCTTCTTCTTCATGATATTTGAATGTAGACGAGCTTAGTGGAGGTTTTATACTCTAATATGAATGCGACGATATGAATTCACCATTAACCTAAATAATTATTTCAAGTGCAGCTTGTTGACGTCAGTCATAAATAGATGTGAACAATCATGGTAGAGTACTAGAGTTTTATATCGAAGATCAAAGTCGTGGATGATATTCTATGCTGGAAAAAATCGGAATACTTTATTCTCAACTGCGCCACTGAAAATGATTCAGATTATCTATAATCGCCCTGCAATATTGATGCATGCTTCTGTCCATTTGCTGAATAGCAACAGCATTTTGGATCATACAAATTTACTGTGTTTCGCCTATATCGTTATCACATGCTGTGGCTCAAGGTCCTGGAAGAGATGAAGGCCTCCAAGAGGGATGATGCATTATGTTCACTATCCTTAAATTTCAAAGTAACGAAAACGCCAAGTAAATTCACAATATCTTCCTGAAAACGTTTCACAGACCAACTTCATTATCAGTTCAGAAAAATTCTCTGTCACACGTTTGAGCAGGTGTGGTTGTTCACTACCCACGTGTGTGCAGGTGTTGTTGTTCACTACCCACGTGTGTGCAGGTGTTGTTGTTCACTACCCACGTGTGTGCAGGTGTTGTTGTTCACTACCCACGTGTGTGCAGGTGTTGTTGTTCACTACCCACGTGTGTGCAGGTGTTGTTGTTCACTACCCACGTGTGTGCAGGTGGTTGTTCACTACCCACGTGTGTGCAGGTGTTGTTGTTCACTACCAACGTGTGTGCAGGAGTTGTTGTTCACTACCCACGTGTGTGCAGGTGTTGTTGCTGTCCCCCGAGGCAGAGGTGCGGTGGGAGTACACTCTCCCCCACGTCAACGCGTCCTACACCCCCAGCTTCGAGTGGCAGATGGGGGAGTGGTCGGTGTGTTCCCGCAGCTGCGGAGGAGGGGACCAGGCCGCACGGGCTCAGTGCATGGAGCAGGAGGCGGGCCTCGTCGAAGACAAGTCAGGCTTATTTATTGCGATTTCTTTCAACATTGATTTTCATTTTTCAATATATCTTCTAGTGTTTTTTTTTATCAATTTAAAGAAGCGATGCTCATTTATTGCGATTTCTATTAACATTTTTCAATGTTAATATTCATTTCTATAATATTCATTTCCATTTTTAAATATATCTTCCCAGTTCTTCCAATGTTTTCTTCAATTTAAAGAAGCAGTAATTGAAGTTATATAGTAAATAACTGATTCATTGAGATTTCTATTAACATTCTTCAATGTTAATATTCATTTCTATAATATTCATTTCCATTTTTCAGTATATCTTCCCAGTTCTTACAATGTTTTTTATCAATTTAAAGAAGCGATTGATGTGAGGTAATTGAAGTTATAGTAACTAACTGATTCATTGCGATTTCTATTAACATTCTTCAATGTTAATATTAATTTCTATAATGTTCATTTTCATTCAGCGATTGGTTAAAATATTTCAGCGTCGTATGCATTTATGGGTCTGAGATGTGTGCAGAATAAGATCATATTTTCTGACCACAAGTGATAACATTATTTCATTAGAATATGCTTAATGATATAATATGGTATTTAATTCATTTCGTAAGAAAATATTTTATGGTTTATGGTAATAAACAAACCCGAGGACTGACTGCAATATCTCCTAGTGATAGGAAGAGTCTCATTGTAATTACAGGATAATTATAACTAAGTGCCTGCAGCAGGATATACTCTGTCACTAATGGGAGTAACAGCACCTAAATATTCTCTCCCCACTCCCCCAGGTACTGCCTGGACTCCCCTAAGCCCCCCACCAACATGCGGGTGTGCAACACCCACGACTGTCCCGCGTGGTGGTGGACGGGCCCGTGGCAGCCCTGCAGCGTCACCTGCGGTCCTGGGGGCACCACACGACGCACCGTCATCTGCGTCAGGTGCGTCGTGCGTAATCTGCGTCAGGTGCGTCGTGAATCATCTGCGTCCAGTACGTCGTGTATATTTGTTTTATCATTAACGAATGGCCAGTTCGTTAACGAGAGATCATCGTTTAGGTTTGTAATAAGATTTCCTTTTTACCGAAACTTGAGATGGGTTTTCCTCAGGTCTTTGGGCGCTACGGAACAAATGGCGCTGCTGGACAGCGACTGCCCTGACGCCGACAAGCCTCACGACACAGAACCTTGTACTGCACCCGAATCCTGCCCCACTGATCTGTCTTGGAGCGTGGGACCTTGGCTTCAAGTGCGTTTAACATTAATCCTTGCAATGATCGTGCGTTTTGAAAGAATTTTTATGTAAATCAAGCACAAGAACAGACTAAGGGTTCTGCAATGATTCTGTCTTGCGTTTAGATTGCCAACTGTTGTAGTTACAAATGTCCTTTCGTGCGACTATCTGACTGATTATTCGCACAAATTAGCTCATAAATCTAGCTCATTTCATACTGGATAAAACTTAATGTGAAGTTGAGCAATGAAAAAATTTTTAAAATGTCCGCCGTGAGATGCCCGTGATACAATAGCCGGGGGCACTGAAAGAATACTGTATTTATAAGTTTATGTACTGTAGATGTACCGTAAGTGAGGCATACTAGCACACCCACTGTGCATGTTTTCCTACCGTACTATAAGTATTGTACTGTACAAGAGACTATATTTAGATGTGCATGTACTATAAGTGAGGCATACTAGCACACCCACAAGGTATGTTTTCCTACCGTACTATAAGTATTGTACTATACAAGAGACTATATTTATATGTGCATGTACTAGCGTAGGTGTGCCGTAAGTGAGGATGCTAGTTCGCCCGCTGTGCATATTATCTTACCGAATATTATAAATATAATTATAATAATACCTCACTTCCAACAGACGTGTGGAGGTGACCCATGCGCCACCGAACGTCGCCTGGTAGAGTGTCTACTGCCTGACGAAGGCTGTGACGTGCTGACGCGTCCTCCTCACCAGCGACGCTGTGGTAACATCACCTGCGGCACCTGGACAGTCGGACCCTGGACACAGGTGAGTCTGGCATCTGTCGGACCCTGGACACAGGTGAGTCTGGCATCTGTCGGACCCTGGACACAGGTGAGTCTGGCACCTGTGTAACCTACGTGCCTGGCACCTGTGTAACCTACGTGCCTGGCACCTGTGTAACCTACGTGCCTGGCATCTGTGCAACCTAAATGCCTGACACCTCTTGAACTTTTCGACGAAATGCTTGAAATGTTCGTGGCTTCTCTTGCCCCCAATTAAATAGAACTCCGCGTCCACGGATTGAAATTTCACATTGTAATCAAAATCTACCCACTTGTTTACTCAGGTTTCAATTTCAGATAACTGAGAGTCTCACCTCATATGGTTGGACCTATTGATTGATTTTAATATCTCAATTTTCTGCACGTGTTTACAGTGCTCAAGTGCATGCGGCGAAGGCGTTGAGGTCCGACAGGTGTCATGCGAGGGCGGTCTGGCCTGCGAGTTAACATCCGAGCCTCGCTCAGCGAGGGAGTGCGAAGGACCTTGTGATGCTGAGATCCAGCCTCCAACCGCACTGGATATTCTCAATATGAATATACCTCCCCAATTTAACGAAATTGCATCCAGTTCAATGACGACACAACATCCTACGCCTAAACCCATTAAATTAGGTCACCACAATAAATCTTCTACGATCAATGAAACTTTGAATACTGCCACATCGTACGATGGCAAGAAAACTGATTTTATGAATGAGGGATACCACAGAAGAGAAGAAAATAATACTAGGAATTCCGAAAGCCTTGAAATTGATGAGAATAATAGGTCAGATACAACCGGGAATATGAGCTCAGAAATAGAAATAAACGCCGAAGTATTGCCGGCGGCAAGCAGGCACGACAAAGCCACTGCAGTCGTAACGAACACGAACAACAGCGAAGCCGACCTCGATGCTAACACCAACGATCCTTCTTCTGGTATTGAACACAATATCGTTGAAGGAAGTGAAGGTTCACAAGGGAACACGTACGTTGGAGATACTGAGGACGATCGTATTACACTAAAAGTCAATATCAACGAGGGAAATGAGTCTATCGCAACAGGAGCTGGGAAGCACATGGATGATAGCATTAATCCCGACGACAATGTGAGCCGCATTCTAGGTAATGGATCTCACAATGCAGTTCCTCATGAACATTCTCTCGTGTCACCTAATACGGCAAGAAACAGTCCTGCAACCAAAACCGATAAAAACCAAAGCGAAATTTCGTCCCCTGAACTCGTCCTGCACACGACCATTTCAGCAGATGAACCAGTTTCTACATCTACAGAACCACTGCCGACTCAGAAAATTGATTCTGGTATCGTCCTAGAGTATGACTTTATGGTCCCAAGCCTCAACAGCGAAAGCCACGATGAAATTGACTCAGACTTCAATGGTTCAATTACTCCACTCTACGCAACGCAGAATACAACAAACAGCGTCACTGTTACCTCGGAAACTCGGGGAGACATAGCACTGCCGGTGAAGAGTTCGTCGACGAGCTTAAGTCGAATACCAACTATTGGCACAAACTCTAGCGTACTGCACACATCCAGTTCTTTCAAGCCGTCAAAGTCAAGCAGTGATGCCGATGCCGTCTCGCATCCCACCAAAAATCCCTCACATCGCGGCAACCCTGAGACTTCTCCTGAGGTGAACGCTTTGGAATATGAAAACGATGATATTGTTTATGAGTATGACCCACTGGATGATACACACAAAATTCACAACGACGTGTTCGAATATGATTCCGACACTCACTCCCAGGATGGTACAAGCCTCGGAGTGTCTCGACCTCAGGGCATCGCGGAAGATAAAATAAACGTCGATGATTTTGAAATCGTTGAGGTGATCAGAGCCCCAGCCAACGAGAAAAAACGTCATAAAAACGACAAGCACCACAAGCGGCGAAGAAAGAAATACCGTCAGAAGTTGGTAGTGCACGAGGGCGAGGAAGCCATAGCCTTGTTCAATGATATTGTGCACGAACATGGTAACTTGCGGCACCCAGATGGCCACGGTGACTTGAATCAAATATTGTCAGTTCCACTACACAGCTGGAGCGTCGGCAACTGGGGCAACGTAAGTAACTTTGATGCCTCGTGCTGACAAATAGCGTAAATCACTTGTATACAAACGCTTGCAATAATTCAATAAATACTTGCAATGCAGGTCAATAAAATGTATACAAAAGCGGTTTTCTAAAATAGTGTTGGTAATTTTTTCTTTGATGAAATCCTTCCCAGACATGTTCCTCTGACCACTTAGCGATCATACATCCAGATTAAATCGAACGATAGGTCACAATTATAAATTTAATTAATTACAAAATAGAACTTCCTAACTAATTGGAAATTACAAACTCTTGGACTGCTCACTAATTCTACGTCAAATGTTACGGGGGTAAATTCATTGCCTAAGCTGCATCTATTCCTTTGATCATTAATCATCAATTGCTCCTTGTGTCCCAGTGCCAGGAATTTGTCATACTGTCATAAGTAATTTGAATGTTACAACCAGGCCATAATGCATTTTATTATCATTTGCTACGACAAACTGAAATTTAGTGCTATTGGATTCGATATCCTGCAATGAGCTACAGCTAGATCTCTGCGATGTGATGTCAGCAGTGTCTATAGTGCAGTGCAGTATTTTAAAGCAAAGTACTTATGTACGTTGCAGTGCTCTGCACACTGCGACGGTGGGGTGCAGAAGCGCATCGTTCAGTGCCAAGAACAGAGCACCGGAGGGGTCGTAGGGAGCGTCCTCTGTGCCAGTCTTCCAGCCCCTCAGCGGGAGCGGCCCTGCAACCTGGTAAGAGATCAGATAAACAACAGCAACTTTATCAATGAATTTGTAAAACTGTCACTTTAAAATGAATGAATTTGTAAAACTGTCACTTTAAAATGAATAAATTTGTAAAACTGTCACTTTAAAATGAATGAATTTGTATAACTGTCTTCACACGCCATCGTATAATCGTGAAGATCATGAAGTCAGAGCTCGTGAGATGACCAACATTCTGGTTTTCGTGTTCACCAATCAGTCCGTTATTTGTCATGAATCATTTATCTGTAAAAGAGCGTCAAGAAACTATGTGAGTTATTCCACTAACCTTGTTACTCTGCCAGTTATTCCATTAACCTTGTTACTCTGCCAGTTACTCTACCAGTTATTCCACTAACCTTGTTACTCTGCCAGTTACCGTGTCTGGACTGGACGGTGTCGCCGTGGTCAGCGTGCAGCGCCGAGTGTGGACATGGACACCGCCACCGCTCGGTCACGTGCGCCAGCCCCAACATGTGCAAGGAGGAGCTACGCGCGCCCTCCATGGAGCCATGCACCTTGCGACCTTGTGTGGTGTGGAGCGAAGGACCCTGGAGCATGTGTACCAAAACCTGTGGGGTGGGGTACCAGATACGAGCGGTGCGATGTGTGGAGCAAGAGTCTCATGTCCACAGCGCCTTGTGCCCCACTGACCTCAAACCACCGCACAAGAGGAGCTGCAATGAGCAGCCTTGTGCTCAAAACAGGCAGGGTGAGCATGAAACGCATCTCAAACTCAGAGAAATATGTAGGCTTGAAATAAAGAAACATATCCAGCTAGGTTTGCCCAGCGGTACCTGGAATAGACAGTCCTGCAATATCAGAATGTCGTTTATTTGAATATAACTAACGTATGCCGTTCGTTAGTTAGTAATACAGATTCAAACTCAAATTTCAACTAGAACTTGCACTTGTCTCCCGTTACAAAATCTTAAAAAAAATTTATTTGTGATCGCAATAAAATTTATGCATACAAATTTTATCATTGACTTTATATTTTAGACTAAAGTCTGTTTATGTCATTCGCACTCTGATACATTATTTAGTCAGTGCGAATGATTTAGTCATTATTTAGTCAGAAAATGAGTCTGTGCAAGGCGTACGAGAAGATTTTAGAAAATGTTTAAAAATTTTAGAATGCAAAGACTTATGCTAATTTGTGATATTAAAGTTAACCTAAAGTCCGTGATCTCAGGTCAGGTGCGTCAGTGCCGTGACCGCCTGGACACGCAGCTGTGTCGGCGGCTGGTGCACATGTGTACGACCAAGTTCTTCCGTGCCAAGTGCTGCCGAACCTGCTGGAAGAAAGGGGGTCGTGGTGAGCCATAGATAGCGGTGCCCGGAGATACAGAAAGAATATAACTCAGTACTCACTGCAGTGAGAGACAGAGAGCGCATTTTATCGTCGACGAAAACATGAAGTCACGGACGGACGGACGGACGGACATGACGAGCACAATAGCGCCTTTTTTCCATAAATGAAAAAATGCCCTAAAAACGCAAATTGGTCGATATTACTGCTCGGTAGCGTTTGTACGGCTAAAAGGATGTCGTTCATTTGTGCAGAATAATTACTTGTAGTTATGAAATCCATCAGTCAAGCAATATTTTCAAATTTATATTATAAATGATGTACACTGTACAGTCAGATAGAACTTTAAATTGATATAGTTCTCTTATGAATAGTTATTTATGGAGTATAGTTTTCCATAATGCTGAGACGGAGAAACCCACCGTGGACCTCAACAGTAGAATTTTGACAAAAATTCTAAACAAAAACAAAAAAAAACAATAGTTTGCTTTTTTTAATGTGTGACCACAGTGGAGCATGCGTAGTATAACTGGTGCTCTGGATCTCAGTCAGATGTAAACACCGTGGGTTTATCAGTTCAAAGTCATCTTAAGTTTGCTGAAGTTCTCAAAACATGTACGTAGCCAGTCATATGCTACCTTCATGTTCGAAGTTCACCTCTTTCACTGCAAGCATGTCTTGCATTGAGCTTCGTCATTAAAATAAGTCAATGATTCAATTGCCCTCAGTTTTTAAGCAACTTAGATGTAGGACCATCCTCACTAACTCGACCTGTCTTAACATATCATGTTTGATGAAGTCCCAATGGAGAATTAATTTCAAAGCGTACCACGTTAATGTATAGAGACTAATATTTGTATATCAACATCATCGCTGCTTGCCGTACCAATCATAAGGTTATTCAGCTACTACAGATGTGGTGAGGAGTGGCTTTTTTGACTGCGATAGCATCGTAAGTGAACGGTTGTTAGAATTTTCCTCAGATATCGTGAGCGATTGATTCATTTGTATCATTTTGTGTGTTATCGCTGCAAAATGTAGGTGTAATAATCATCTTCAATAGGGTAAAGATTTCAGAAAATGTTCACAAATTTTAGAATACAAAAACTTATGCAAATTTGTCCGAAAATTTACGTTTTCCTGTGAGTTTTTTACCGCTGCTTCTTTGGACCTCAAATAATGCATGTCACGAAGCATAATCATTATTGAAGTTTAAATACATTCAAAATTTACCTCATTTCAATTTAAAGCTGAATAATGTATATATAACGAATCGTTGTTAGATTGAAGCTGATATGTTAGATCGATATGTTATTGTGCCAAATTTCTCTTCATTGCAAGCTTTGATGTCTTTGATCTTCGCGTATACGGCTCTACCTCATTCAACAGTATTTCAAGTTCATATGTTTCAAATTGTATCTACTCCAACTCGCTACCACCGAACTCGACATAAAACACAGCTTAAGGAACATTGTGAAAACTAAAGAAACATACATATGAAAACATCGGATCATTTTAATAAATAAATTCAATTTTTATTTATATTTTTATTTCCCTGTGTGTATTTTGCAGTGCATAGTAATGTGGAACAAACCTGATATAAATGTTAATGACATAGCATGAATTTGTACACAATTAATAATATATTTTAGAGTATCACTGATAACTGATATGTTTTTCGAGCAAGGATATTTCTTCTTTCGTGGAACTGCCGTGAAATATATACCTAGTAAACGTGAACAATGAAATGATGATTCAGCATGAAATCGAATTTTAATTTTGTTTAACTAGAAATAATTTTCTTATATTTCTTCTAAAAAAACGTTCGAATTTTGACCGTAAACTAATTTATAGAGACGTGAGCAATTTTTGGTTTTCAATGACAAATAAATGTATCATTTTCTGAGGAGTAAAACATGGGGCAGAACGAAAAATTAACCGTCCTCAATACTATCAACTACTTCGAGTTAAGATTAGGAATTGATAGTCCCATCTAATAAGATACTGTCCTCTTTTTTTAAAGAAGTTTCTGAACGATTTAGAACTTCAATTGCATATTTTAGGTCCTAAAGTTTTTAAAAAAAATTATGATGCCAAATACTATTTTTTATGTTCAAACTCCTGAAAAATCATTCTTTAAATGAGAAATATTGTGCAAAGAACATAACCGAATTGACACAATGGCGATCGTGGCCACAGCCGCGCTTAAATTCAAAAGAATGCAAAACAACCTTTTAATTAAAATCGTATAGCCTTATCGAAGTCTGATTTTTTACAAATAAAATATAGAAAGTGTTTTCCGTGTAAAATATTTGGTCGTATTTGAAGCTAATTATTTGATTACTGACAAAAATGGCAACCCAAACAACAACAGTAGTCTTTGGTGGAGAATAAACTTACCCAAGCTAGAGGCATATATGACTTTTTCTCGATCTTTATATATTGAAAGACGACAAGAAAATGGGCTCATCAAAAATTTATTGAAGGTATATTCATGATCATAGAGCACCAGACGCACTGTATCTTAAAATATCATGAGTTAACCACCACTGCCAACAAAACGCTTCATCTCTCATCTCCAAACTGAGAAACAAAGTTATATATCCGCTATGTGTCATAATTTTTATTGATAAATATTGACTAAAGATAAATTTAACAAATAAAATCCTGAAGAACAATCATGAAAATTGGAGAAGATAAACGAAAATCTGTAAATTTCTAGAATGTTCGGTTTCGTTTATAAGTGAGCGATACATTCCGACGCCAGCTCAGTCAATAGCAGTCAGCCTAAGTGAGTGGTTACCGCTCCCGGTTTTCTGTGTACGACCAATATCCTGTGTGGTAATCAAATTCAGTTCTGAAGTTACATCGAATTAATTTACAGTCATTACACGATGGGAAAAGATTATTACAAGATCTTAGGCATTACTAAAAGTGCCAATGAAGATGACATCAAGAAGGCTTACCGAAAAATGGCGTTGAAGTATCACCCTGATAAAAACAAATCGCCTAATGCGGAAGAAAAGTTTAAAGACATAGCTGAGGCGTACGATGTTTTGAGTGATAAGAAAAAACGTGATATTTATGATCAGTATGGCGAAGAAGGCTTGAAAGGCGGCATTCCCGGAGGTGGTGGTGGACCAACCAGCGATGGATCACACTTCACATACACTTTTTCGGGCGACCCCAGGGAAGTTTTTGCGCAATTTTTCGGTACAAGCGACCCGTTCACGATGTTCATGGGCGGTGATGGCGGCCTGGGAGGCAGCATGTTTGATCGTATGGATGTTGATGATGATGCCTTCAACATGATGGGCGGACGGTTAGGAGGGGGTGGAGGTGGCGTAGGTGGCACAAGAAGAGCTTTCTCTTTCAGCCCTCATGACACCTCCAGGACTGGCCGAGGAGCTAAGCAAGATCCTGCCATTACACGTGACCTCTACGTATCTCTTGAAGAGGTCAACACAGGTGTCACTAAGAAAATGAAAATCACGCGCAATGTTGTCTGCAAAGAAACTAGGCAAATGAAGAAAGAGGAGAAAATTTTGACTATCCAAGTGAAGCCAGGCTGGAAAGAAGGAACGAAGATAACATTTGAAAAAGAAGGAGACCAATCACCGGGCAATATTCCAGCTGATATTGTGTTCATCATCAGAGACAAGCCTCACCAGGTCTTCAAAAGAGATGGTGCCAACTTATCGTTCACCACCAAGGTCACCCTACGGGATGCCTTGTGTGGCACCCGCATCACAGTTCCCACCCTGGACGGTCCCAAAGTTTATCTCGACTACACAAAAGATATCATCAAGCCCCAAATAGTGAAGCGTATCCCCGGCCGAGGTCTGCCGTATCCCAAGGATCCTTCAAGAAGAGGAGACATTCTCGTGCACTTTGACATTCAGTTTCCAGCATCTCTTACAGATAGTGCAAAAGAAATTCTTAGTGAAGTTCTTCCCTTATAAATTTGTATTATAACAATTTTCTTGTATTAGGATTCAAGATCCTCAACATATTTGTTGCTGTAAATCTTTATTTAGTTATCACTACGTCATTCGTGTACGTGTATTTAAGCTCATGATGCTCTGGTACAGCTAGCATAAGATAGGGCTTTAATTTTTTTAGGACTGATTGATCACATTTTGTTTCTTGTCACTTTTGTAGACCAATTTCGTTTATTCTGCTCTCGCTAGAAAAATGTTGCTCGCTTGTATTTATCATTGTTTTACTCTTAGGCTTGAATATCTAGTTAATGTAAGGCGCTAAGATTTAACGGTAGTCATTCAATCGTGTTGAGACGCGATTGTCTAACGGAAAAGTACATATTCTTATGTACGTGTTTATTTTGTTACAAATCATAAGCAAGTCATGGTAGCCTTTAAAAACGTATTTTTATTATGGCTGTGATATAGTGTTGAATAAATTCATTTCGTATAAATTAATGTTTCATTTACCTTCCCTAGGGTCTATTGACTACTGTCAATTCGTTCTGAAAACGGTGTTTTAAATCCATTTTGCGGTGACAATATATTATTGGCACCGATCCTGGCTTTGAAATTGCGCATAACGTATAATAGCATGTACGAGTAGCTGCTATATTTTCTACGTAAATATATGGCCGTCAAAGCTTATCAGGACTTACCCAGGCATCAACCATTAAAATTAATTGACACTAAAATCACTTCAAGATAACGGAAAGGCCACAAATTTCAGGGTTGTTAACTGGCGGACAGTACAACAAATGAATGTCTATGATCTGATACTTTTTTATCTATATCTATAAAAGAGCAGCTTTTAGGAAATCATCGTAAGCATGTCCAAGTGAAATCGTAGAAAACGTCAAAATGAAGTCGAGTCAGTAAATAATTTACCAAAAGAAGGTGCAATTTTAACGAGTTGGCGATGAACACCTTCTGCAATTTAGTAGATTCAAGCGATTGACGGTTCGTTCAACATTGAAATTCGAATAGTTTCATGGACATCGAAAAGAACTATGAGGTCACTCTGAGTTTAAGAATAAATTAGGAAATTCCAAATTTATTTTTCAAAATTAACATTTATTATAAAAGATTTTTAGGGAGAAAATGAGGTGGTGGTAATATAACTGACAGTTATTTTCGGTCATATTGATAGCGGTTATTATCATGCTAGACAATATCGTTACAGGGTGCGTGGCCGAAGACTTCCCTGAAGGATCCACAACGTCGTCTCTACCTGTTTCTGGTCAAGGTAAGATGAGTCAGTGTGGGAGTAAAGGGGTATTATTTCCTCATATGGAGTCTACAGCGCGCGCTGCTCCCTGACAAACCCCAACTCGTGCCATTTGTGCTCTTTACTTCAGTCTTGCTCTAGCCGATCCATGGTTGAACTACTAGTAACTAGTTCAACCATGAGCCGATCCAACCACATCTTGTATCTAAGCAATAATACTGATTCCCATCATTAACAATATTTCCGTATAAATTACGTCATCTTAATAATGTATAGTGTACAAATTAATAGCAAAATGTCATCTTTTGTCAACTTATTTGGCACATTTATATTTAAAAGGTTGCACAGTGCAACTTTATATCTAATTGTTTGTGATGTGAGTCACCGCTGACGTGTGTCTGCCACGTGCCCACGTCGGCCCACTCGCTGCAACAACTTAAAAGTGGATGTGTCATTTTGTTGAATTGAACAATTTCCAAATAAAAATATCAGAAAGTGGAAATATTTTTGTATTATTTCTTATATTACAAGTTGATAGAGAAAATATGCGATAGGTTTTTCCTTCATTCCGTACCGTAAAATTTCTCTTCGTTCGTTGTTGTTGTTGTAAAAGTTCTTAGGTTAGCTTGTCTGCTGGCCCCATGCACGAACGCTTAGGCTTTAGGGTCTCTGGATTCAGAATCTCAAAAGTACTGATTCAAAGTGATTTATTACAGTTCCATGACTGGGTATTTATACTTTTAGGCAAACAATATTTTTTTAATGAAATCCGCATATCATGTATCACCCTGGCACAAAAAATCTCGAATTCAAATGAATAAACTGTTTAGGCCCAGTGGTTACAGTTCAGAGTACCAAGATTGGCGCAGAGAGATGAGGGTTCGATCCCAGCTCTGTGCGCCAGTTTCTGGTGGTCAGAATCGGCAAAGAGGCCGGGCGGTTAAGCACAGCAGAATTGTAGCAGTGAGTTGCGAGTTCGAGACCGCAAAATGCTGTGAATGTTCTGCGATGTTAAGAATCGGCGACAGGCCTACGGCCTAATAAACGCTGGAACCGCTATTATTATATGAATCTTTGCACCAGCATTGTACCGACAAGTTACTGTGCGGCATTAAAATGTAGGGAGGTGTGTGTAGACTGTAGCGTAACATATGTAGAGAGATGTGTGCATTGTAGCTCGGCTTAGGGAGGTGTGTATGCAGTGTATTCGTTATAAAAATTCGAGTAGCCTGCGTAGAAAGCTACGAATCGAGCTTAGGGTGAAGCGAGTTTGTGTTGACTGCGTGGGGAGAGAAGGCTACTCCAAACGCTGGCAAAGCTCCTCAGCCAAAATAGCCATGACGCTATGCGCTATTCTTGGTGTACACGTTCATGTCTTGTGGACGTTCAGCCACTTGTACGCACATGAGGTTAACCGCCAGTCAGGTCTCCATGCACCTTGTTGCACTTGGTCTTCAAACGTGAGCGTCCAAACGAGAGTAAGAAATCATAGCTGTAGAGCTGTTAGCGACCGAAATATTTATCATATTTAAAAATTATGTAAAAAGCGAATGCTGTTATTTTCAAATTTTTTATTCTTGGTCACGCAAGTCTTCATCTCTTTGTAGGTAGCGAGTGGGAGGCGAGATATTGCAAGTGAGATGAGAGCAAAACGTGCCCTACATAAAATAATGAAGGACCTGCAGGCCATAACGGCCACGAAGAAGTCGTACGCTATCCCATAACGTATAAACAAATAAAAGCAGGTTTCATTGCAGAGAATTTGTATTCTTGACCATTTTCTCATTAGTTTTTTTAATATATCGAACAATATTTTCGTCTGCACTGGTAAATCGAAAAGCAGGGTGCCGATGGACATTTTTACTTCGTTTTTTTTTTTTAATGTATCAATCGTTCATTATCAAGTTACAAGCCGCATTGAGTGATGAAATTTGGATTGACATACGTACAAATCATGTAAATAGGATACTATTCACAAGTCAATTTGGTTAAAAACAAAAAACAGAAAATATTTCTAACTAATTAATGATTCATAAAATATTCAATATATCGATAAAATTGATTGATATATTGAAAAACTTATATGAAAATTGTCAATATAGCAAATTCTTTGGTCTTCGATGAAACCTGCCCAAAGGAACAAATTCTGTCAACCTATACTAATTAATAACTAAAATCCACATTGTTTCGGTCTATAACTTTCCTTGATTTCACGCTCATTTGCTCACGGAGATTTGTACTTACAATCTCGCGCAAGACACAAAAATTTTATTCTATATAATATAATCAAATCTAAGTCAACTCAAATCCTGCGATGGTTGTGCAAATTGTCGGATAAATGACGGAAGCCATGTTAGGAGGCGACCTCCCACGCAGTTCTAGTCTTCTCTTACAAATAATTTTGCCCTTGCAGTTTGTTGCCACGAACTTTCCTACAGCTTGCTTCATGTAAACGCGTCAAGCCTACTATTGTCATCTTGCCGATTTATTATTTTTGTAAATTGCATTATTTCCCATGTTTAGTGATAGATGAGTTAAATGATGAGTTTAGTTAAGTTGAAGTTGAAGTGAATTAAAGAAGTTTATTTTAAGTGAATGTGACGATAAACCCACTCCTGAATCAGTCCCACATTTAATTAAAATACATAAACGTGGTTATACTTTAGAGGAATCAAAGATGCTTTGCGTTCACAGACACGTATATATCGCTTATTAGGAATGAGACCAATAAACAGTTATTTTTATGGAGTGATGTACCCCTGTTCCCACGGGACATCAATCGGCGACAGCAGCGCCGCAGTGGCGCAATGCCAGCTCGATGCTCTCGCCGGCACTCTTCTCTTCTCTTAGCAGGTTGAGCTGTGCACATCGTGAAGGCTATGAAGGTGAATATGACAGCCTTTTCTTTAAAAAAAACTTCACCTTACAAAACTGATTTCTTGGCTTTGATAAGACGTAGAAACCGATTATTCAAAATTAAAGCTATTGCTGGATACTCGGAGATATTTTCAATGAACGAATTCATTGTAGTGACGCAATCGCTCGCTTGGACAATATACGAGTATATTAATAAAACCCTCCATATACCATGATACCTCATGATTGAACCCATGTTAGGCCGATAAGCATGATTGAATTAAAATGAAAGGATTACTGGGATTACCATCATCTCTTAAAACACGCGTCAAATGTCATTCTCATTGCTTCCTCTTCAAGCAAACGACGATTAAACATCATGAACGAGCGGTTTCGCGAATTGACGTTCGCTTCAAGTTAATGAGATACATAGTACATTCGATGACAGAGGCCTGAAGGCTCAAGTAGCATGGAGACCAAGAAGCCTCGCTAAAACTTAGGTTGCTAAAGATCGAGTACACGACTTCATGAAGTGCATAGGTATGATAATGAAGGGGAAAAAATCAACCATTTTGTTATTATATTTATTATTCCCCTGCAATAACTTAAATTGGTCACTGGAATTTCATTAAGCATTACTGCTTAAATCTAAGTTATTATGATGGTGGGCCACGAAAGTTATCCAGTGAAGTCAAGATCACAGCCAGGGTTTTCTATTTCTCAACTCCCCTTGGGGCCACTCAGCCCGACTCACCTACCAACATGAAAAACTCACTGCATGTCTCCTGAAACATCACGAGCAGAAGGCTCAAAACATTCTGCAGGTTGCAATAGAGCTTCAACTCTACACTTCACACTAGTTTGAGCAAAAGATGCCTACCTATACGCTTAAATATATAATATATGCGACATACTACTAGCATAGACCGTGTGACGTTAGGCGAAAACACAACAGAGTCCTACTACAGATTTACACCACTTATGAATCATTTCAACAGAAGAATAGCAACTACATCATACTAGTACAAATTATACCGCTAGTTTGTGAGTGCAGAGAGTGCCAAATATACAAAAACTCTCAACACATGTAACACTCATTACAATTGCGAATATATAATTCCAGACGCTGAACATCATTACATACAATATGTACACAATATTGACAAGCCTAATTTGCTGCTAGGTAATTCTTCGCAACCTAATTTGTACAGAGCTAGACAACAACAATCATCGTCCGTACTTAATTAATCTAGAAGTTCTACAGCTATTCCCTCTTTGGCTCGAGTATTTCAACCAAAGAGTTATGTGACTAAAGATATAAATTCACGTCAGACACTGTAACTAAATTAAAGGCAACGGATAATTTCTAGGCAGTCTCCATTAACCTCGATGGAAGAAAATCATAGAAAATCAAATATTATCGCACGTGCAAAGATAACAGCGAAGAAAGTAGTCATAAAAAGCTCAGCAAGAGGTGTTCTTAAGCAAGTCACTAATATTAGAGAGATCAGATACATCATCACGACGGAAATACTACATTAATCATCGGGTGAAATTCCTGATAGCATCCACTTCTCAGCAGCTGTCAGTCTACGAGCACTCATGTGTCATGCATGTTGACTTGTATCGTCAACTATTAATCCACTAATGGACACCGATTTGGCAGACATTCGTGACATGACTGAATCAACCCGTAATAAACCTTTGTAAATCCAAAGAAATTTTAAATTAGGAAACACCAAGTATAGGTATATGTGTTATCAATTAATTAATTAATAACGAACAAGTATTCTGGCCACAGTGGGAAGATACATGGAATCGTGGACCAGTCCGTCCAATGAAATTTTTGACAATTGAACGAAAATGTCTGCACTTAGAAAGAAGAGCTGTCCACATATGGACTACATGAATTTGTTGACTGATCAACAACGAAATGTAGGTAAAAAAAATCGACGCAGTCTCATTACAGCGAAACTGTAATCAGTGCAGATGACAGTCAGAAGATAGCCATCTCTACACAAGAATTATACACGAGGCGAGGCATCACGTCGGGAGGGTTGAGAGAAGGCGGCACGAGCCAAGGCTTTCTTAAGGAAGTGCAAGAAAAAAACTGCAGTGAATTAAATTATCTGTCAGTGATGAGGAACATCCAGATTACAGATAGAATTGAATTTAGCTACAGCGTCTCTTTCAGCATGTTTTCAACGCACCTTTACGAGAGCAAAGGTGCTCCAAGTCTACTGCAGTTATTTTCTTGCGAAGCAGAATCAATGCTGCCAAGAAGCAGGACACAAATTGTCTCAAACCACACAATTATTTGCGCCACTTGATGGTCTGTCGGGCGAGTTGAGTTTTCCGATTATATTGACACTATTTACAAATATCTCTCCTATGATCTCAGTAAGTTTTATTCCACATTGAGTAATTGCATGCAAATGGTATTGCTTGATACATCAAATTCTACTTGAGCATCGGCAGTTTTGAGATCATGATGCATTAGAGGAGTCGTTCTCCGTAAACATGCAAGCGTACTCGTAAAATTCAACTATGATCACGATAATTTTTTTTCTCATCAAACAGCATGCATCAGTACATCAGGTGATTGCTACTAAACTTTACTAAAATTTCATAGTAAGCGAAAACGTAAAATGGAAGTGTGGATCGCAAAAAGCTCTCTGCGGCCTCTAACATAAAATTTCTGGATGACGAGAGAATTGAATTAGAAACGAACGGTATTTTTCATGGATTACTTCATATCATATCAATGTCCTTCGGCTTCCAACAAAAACTACGATTTAAAAAAATATAAACAGAGCACTTTCAATAAAGATTAATTTGTAATTTAACCAACAGAAAATTGTGAAGTTTTTAAGAAACAAAGAAACTTTAGCGCGTCACCCTATAATAGCGAAAAAAAAACGAAGGCAATTACATCGGGAATCAAGGTAAATGACAGAGATGAAAACAATTTACCGTGCTTCCAACTAACGTTTTCGCCCTGATACTCGAAATATTTGAACATTTCATCACTATTTGAACGAGCCAACAGAATCTAAGTTCGCAAAAAGGTGGAAGAGTACTTTTTAAAAGAGTAGATGAAATGGCATATGGCTCTTCAACAAGTTGCAATGACGATGAGGAGATGAGAAACTTCGGCAACGGCTTGGAACGCGTCTGGAGCACAACATTCAAGCGTTGACTTGGAGAACTCGCATGGTGGGAAGATGTGGATCACGAACGTAGGCTGTAAAATATACGAGCATTTTAATACCTAAATACGGTAATTAATGCTGATATATATATATTTTGATATAGTAAGCAAACAAAATGGATAATGCATACTGTAATCCGAAGTGCAGGATCAGTGCGAAAATATTTTCTCTCGGTGATACCCTAGATTTAAAGAATTTTAGATGACCAACTAACCGACTGTGATCCAGGCGCAGTAACATTGACGATGCCTGCCGCCTGTTTGTTGCCAAGGTAGCTGATGAAGCCGTTGTTCAACGTCCGTTGCTGCTGATGACTATCAAACTCGTTGTGACCAAATGGCAGAGCGACCAGCACTGCGTGCTCGCCCTTTTGCTGCAACACAACAAAAATCACTCTAGTATTTATTTTTTAAGCAATATTATAATAGTAGTTACACCATTGAATGGTGTAATTTGGCAAATGGTCACTCACGGTGATAGATATAAAAATAAAAAACAATCTGCCCACACACAAAAAACGACGAGCTTTTTGCATGTTTCTACGCTGACATACCTGCATCTTGCGTGCGACGCCGTCAAGTTGAAGCTGTTCGAGCCTCATCCGTTGTGATATGCGAAGAGCAGTGGTTTCCTGCGAGTGGTTAGGCAATGCTCCACTAGCCACTTCTGTCGAGCCCGACACGAACAGCATTTGAACTTTGGCTTGGTCGTTTTTCAGGCCGAGAACTCCTTCCCAGAAAATTGGGTACTTCTGCGCACAAGAATGAACAGGGTTATTCTAGATTTTTTTTACATGCAGATCGTTAAGTATTAATGAGAAATTTAAAAATCAGATTCTCAACTCGTATACAGATAGCCGAAAATTCGACCATCCCCACCATGTATCGTACCTTAAATGTTCCATAAAGCAATGTTATCTCAATACTGAAGAGTAAAATTGAGACGAAGTTCAAAAAATAAATGATCACCTCGAGCGGATGGTTGTAAGTGATAACTGGAGTAGGGTCATGATGCAACCCTCCACCAGGTCTGGCGAAATGAGGTGCAGCGACTCTTTGTTCTCCGCCGCCAGCAAAAGGTGGGTAAGGAGAAGCAGTTGAACGCAGCAGTTCACCTCCTATAGGCGTAGAAGTGAGCCTCTCCATAGGGGCAGGGCGAGGAGAGTCTCCAGCAGGGACGGCATGGCCAGGATAAATGTCATAGTACTGCTGGCCGACGAACACCATTGACTGTGACAATAAATTAGTAGGTTATGGTTTCGAAAATTTTAGTAAGAATATATCATAAATTATAATATGTTTCTGATACAAAGAACCGTAACGTAGCATAATGTCTACGATTTTTAATACACATCAGAGTTAATTACCGACAGAGTAGAGCGTTTAGGAAAAATAGGAACGACGACAAAAGAATGATATTGTGTGAATTAGTAAATCTCAAAATGATGAATATTTCGAACAATAATTGTCAGCTCATTAATTCATTATAATAATAGAAGGAATAACTAGCTGGTAATAAGTACGTCGATATTTTATGAAGCTCATACCTTAGGAGACTCGGTAGTTCTCTCTAGTTGGTGAGGCAGTAGCCGTGGCGAGGCACTGTGCGGCGTCAGCACTACACGGGACGGCGCTCCTAATGCTGGGCTTGCTACAGGCAACTGCTCATGGCTGTTTTCTGAAACACCAACACCTTCCGCCTTCAAGTCCAGCGCTGCACCATCTCCAGGACGACCTAATGGGAAAACAATTACATCAACTGCTCTTGGTGCCTGCACTAAAGCTGTGTTTCACAGTTAAATATATCAACAAAAATGATTCACTAGATAATAAATAAAAAAACGAATTAGCGACGTCATTCTACTTTGAACTGAAAAGCATCCTGGCGAGTTAAAATGGTAGTTTTTTTCAGCAGGGTATAGATCTAAGCAAGAGAACCTACGCGGTATATGGAACACAAGAAAATAGAATATTGAGAGGAGAAGTCTTACTGTAGATAGGACGATGAGGATCCTGTACGAAGTAGCCGCCAGGGTACATGAGCGGCGCCATCGACTGCAACAATTGAAAGAATCAAGAACCCTATAATTTCCAGCGGTTTGTTGAGTAAATTGACGGATTCAAATTACTGGCGTGAATGAAACTAGTATTAAAATCAAGAAGTGAGGACTCTGAATTCAAAAACTGCATGTATTTTATCGTCACATGTGTTTTCAAGCTTCGAGATTAAAGACTTGAAACGCTAAATCAAGTAAAGGCTCACCATGTCGAAGGGCTGCAGAGACGGGTCATTTTCGACAGCTGGTCGATTCTTGCCGATATGCGCTGGTGGTGGTTGACTAGTGGACAATAACTGTGGCTGTGGTCCAGAATTTGAGCTCTGCACAGTTCTTGTAGTGGGCTCAAGCTCGCCACGGCTGCCGCTGACCATCACATTCGTAACCGGTGCCACATTCAACCCTTGATGACTAGAAGCATGTACCAGTACTGAAGCTGGACCAACGCTCGTAGTAACAATTTGGTGAAGCTGTCCTCCTATGGAGAGTAATTGTTGCGGCTGCTGAGAGGCACCAGTTTGATGAAGCATCACTGGTTGAGGAGAGGCCTGGGGCGAAGGTTGATGAAGCAAGTGAGGAGAAGCTTGAGGGGATGGATGTAAATGAGCAGGCTGAGGTGATGGTTGATGAGGAACAGTATTCATAGTTACATGAGGTTGTGGAGACAGTGGGTGAGGCCTACTTCCGGCCTGCAAATGCAGAGGCACAGCGGCTTGATACGCTGTACGTCTCATGGCCGTCACGTTCGTGGTCATTCCTGGACTAACGGCTCCCACACTCACTTTGCTCATGGAAACGTTTGCCCCTGAACCACCCAAGGCGCTAGCCTCAACCGTACGAGGAGCACCAGGGTTGGTCTGCAAGTGCATCTGGTGAGGCTGTCGTACCACTTCAACGCTAACTTCACCACGACAAACACCATGTGGCAAAGCGGTACGGAAAGCAGTTACCCCACCACTCGGAGTCTGGGTGGCTTGGCGAGAGGCCACACTCGTCACAGTGATGCTGGGATTAAGGTTCACTGGTGTTGGGTTAGAAACACCCATACGATGCAGAGCGCCAGTAACATAAGCTTGACTGGGCTGCTTCAAAGAGGTACACGGCACAACTTTTGAATTATGGCTTACCGACGTTAACTGGAAGATTGTCGCTTGAGACGCAGTAGAAAGAGCATTGCGCGGAACGGGGCTTTGCTTGACACTCGGGCTGATTACCAACTCGGGTCTGTTGGGCAATATTCCACTGGGAGCTCGGACAAGACTCACTCCACTAGGAATGAATTGCTGGGGATGTGAGGCGACAACAGCAGCAACAGAGCTCGCCGGATCAGCTGTTCGAAGTATCAAGTTTGGTCTTGGAGCCTGAGTGACAACAAGTCCTGGCCGTGTCATGAGAGCGGAATGACTGGTCATGATCGCACCAACAGGTCGAGTTGTGTGACTCACAACTAAACCAGGTCTGTTTATTTGACTAACTATGATAGGCGGTGGAGTAACTTGGGGCTGTGTAACCACAATGGACTGAGGACGTGAGGTTTGCGTCACCACGAGTCCTGGCCTCGACGCTGAGTTGACGACGAGTGCGGCTGCGCTTTGTGCTGCGCCGGGAGGAAGCTTTGCGGTAGAAGTACTGATGAAGATAGCAGGTTTTGTGGGAAGCTGGTGAGCATTTCCCATCATGGCAGCAGTCTTGGCAATGGCATGCGATGGTAAAATAACAGACGAGCTTGGTTGTCCGCTTTGACGAACGAGATTACTGGGTTGGGAAGTTGCTGATGGTACAATTTGAGAAATCTGTGCAGAAACTCCGGTTAGAGCTTTAGTAGCTGGATTGAATTGCGTGTTTGTAGAACTGACTTGAGCGCTAGAGATAACAGTGGGATTGAACGAAGCGACAGGCAATGTGGACGTCACAGTCGTTTGTTCTGTCTTGGGGGTTCGAGCATGTGATATGTAAGTTAAGGGAGTGGTAGATGGAGAGGAAGAAACTACATCACCACTAACAGGAATGTACTGTCCTTCCTTCACCATAGTCATGGGAGTCAAGTGGCCGGTGACGGGGTCGACCAACGGAGTAGGGTCGGATTCCTTTTGCGTTATCTTGAAAGGCAAAATTGGTGAACTGCTGCTGCTGGTAATGGCAGTTGGGACCGTGACAACCGAGGTTTGGGTCTGTAGATAAATGCAGAGATAAAACATTTATTGAATATATTCAAAGAAGAAACTTTTTACCACTAGAATCAGAATAAATATTGAACTTCGTAAAATATTGAATGAGTGAATGGAACCATATTATAGATACATTCTAATAAGGACTGTGTCGGTAACAATATTTTCAACTTTATAAACAACTATTCAACCACGATGAGTGGATGCAACGATGTATGAGAAATGAAGGAGCGCTTGATGAAGAGCGCCGCTTTTCAATATGACAGGAGCGCAAAAAAATAATACATTTGTTGTGAATGAACTGGTCGATAGAAAAGATATAGAACTTCTGTATTTTCTAGATTTAGAAAAGCGTATGATCGGGTAGGCAGAGAGCTGCTGTCAGACACTGGAAATATTTAGTATGAGTGAAAAATATGTGAGGATCGTATGTATGTGCAAACTATAACAAAATATCTGATCGGGAGAGGAGCGTGAAGGGCGTACGACAAGGATGCATCCTGTCTCTGCTTCTATTCAACCTTTACATACAGAAGAAATGGCTACTATGGTGGGCATAAGGGAAGCAAAAGGTTTAAAATGCTTCCTAATGCTGATGGTGCTGTGTAATTTTGAGTGAAAATAGTGAGGATATGCGGAGCATGCTGGACTGTGTACCTAACCGAATATGATAGAGATTTTACTGTTCGGGACAGTGCCTAGAAGAGTCGTGTACTTGTTGTAAATAGATCAGCTGAGCACATATGCAGTGTGTAGCAGTTGAGAGGAAATGAAATTGTTAGGACAAGTGAGTTAAGATACTTTCGGGTGTGCGAGGACCAAATTGGATGTGAACGATAATGATCAAACATTGCAGAAATGATCGAGTTACTCACATCAGTAGTATACGATGAAACGGAGGAGAGATTGGATGAGCTGATGACGCGCATGACTGGAATAGCATTCTTCGGGGCTAGTTCAGCTTCAACTAACGAGGGCATGGAATTACCAGCTGATATTGGCGTGATGGGAGAGAGGGTCTCAGATATAGTTGAATTAGGAGAATATAACGAAACAACCGAAGAAGTTTCAGGAAGACTGAGGGTGGGATTTTCTTTAGGTAGAGCCGTCGGGTGTTGACCCACTAGGCCTCCCCGACCTCCACGAACATTGCGACGCTGCTGTACTGACTCCTTAGCTTTAAATCTCAGACCAGCGTTAGTGAAGGTCAAAGGAGTTACCACACCCGTTGATGAGGTTTCACTCTCAGTGTTTGAATCTTCGTCATCCGCATTTTTATCAAGCAACCGTCGAGACTTGCGAACATTAATCCCTGAGCCTCGCGAATCTTCATCATTGGTAGTGTCTTTAATAGGTGATTTGGCAGAAGTCGAGAGCGGATCTTTCTTGGCTTTATTAACAGAAAGAGAAGTATCATCATCACTTTCGTGGAATTCGAATACATCGTGTGTTGGTGCCGCAGGTCTCAGATTGCCGCGTACTCCTCTCATGCCACGCCGACGTCTGCTGCTACTTTCGTCATGATCCACCATATCGGGGTGTCGGCGAACTCGTTTGGGACGCGAACTGCGTCTGGGTTCTTGCAAACTATTTAATTTAGAAGCGTCGTGGATTGTTAGATCGTCGTTCAATGGACGAGATCGGCTTCGTGATTTATTGCGCGTTGGCTGAGGTACGCCAGTGCCATCATTACTTGCCGCAGTCACTCGTCCGCGGCCACGTCTGGATCGACCCCGGCCTCCTCGACCGCGTACCAGAGGAACTAAAGCAGATTCGGCGCTCCCTCCAGTCTCCGCTATATCTTGCGTAGAGGTTGCTTCTAGTGGCCTATTGGATACTTCAGTGTTGAGCGCTTCTTCGACGTTTTCTTGAATGAAAGAGTTATTGTCTGTTTGTTCAGACTTCGAGGCCGGCGAATCAACACACTTTTCTTCCAGTTTATTCGATTGTACTTGAATGTCAACAGCTTTGTCATCATGGTTATTTTCGTGAGTACCGTGAGAATCTGAAAAACTATCTGTCAAAGGAGTGGCATTGTCTTCGGTTTTAACCAGTAATGATGTGGTTACCTCCTTCTGTTCTTCATTGATATTAGGAGATACATCAACTTTTGAATCAACTGTGTGCTCAGGCGATGCAACTTCTTCGGTCTTTGAACATGGTGGATCACACGGCATAGGTTTAACTTGCTCCATGCGGTCACTATAAGGTTCATTGTGGTTAAACTTACCTTCATTCATCGTTGAGGACGGTAAGAGAGTGTCCTGGTGAACTTTCATATCTTCATACGGTAGTATACTAGAATGTGAAGCCTCCAGCTCGGGCATAGCGAAGTTTTGACGAGTGGGCTCACTAGGAGAGCAAACCAGTGGAGTGCTCTGCTGTTTAGATGAAGATGACGTCTGTTTATCTGTAGCCTGTTCCAAGGAAGATTGATAAGTGCTTTCGAGAGTCACCACGTCTTTCATTTGGCACGCGGGATCTTCTTGCTTTTTGTTACTTTTGTTATCTTTAATAACAGTGTTTTCTCGAGGACAGGCATCCAGAGCCGTAATTGTGGTGTCTTCCACCCAAGGCGTCTGAGGTGGCGTAGGCTGCTCATTATTATCCAACCGAAACACGGATGTCTTCTCCGTAGCTCTCGAAACAGAAGTAAGGACAGCACCGTGGGATTTCAGGTCAACAGCAGAATGGATGTCTTCTGAAGTTTCGTCGGGATCCTCGTCTATTTGGAGAGTGGGTTCAGACTGTACCGATGTTGGACTGTCAGGGAAAGTGATATTGTCTACATGGCCTGCTTTCTCAGGTGTAATTTTGGAACCACTACTGTGAGTTACGACCACATCACAGTCATCAGCGGAGTCGATAGAAGATCCCTTTTTAGCAGGAGCTTCGTCTACTGAAGGAAGAGGTAGTGAGATCGAAGACACAATCAATGGGGGCTCTAATGTAGTCTCATGCAAACCTATGGATGGCTCACGGGCAACTGGCGGGACGGTTTCTGTCGTGCTACTGTCACTCGAGGACGCTGGTACTCCAGCAGGCCAGTTAGCATCCCTGGTTTCGGGTTCGCGCTCTACTTCCGGCATTTCTGACTGCAACATTTGAGCAGCTGTTTGAGCCTCTTGAGAATCCTCTTCCACCACACTGTTCGCGTCTGATGCAATGAGATTTTCTTCATCGTGGCCCGAAGTTCTGGTATTATCGGCATATTCATCATAAGAGGCTAATAAACCAGCAACGGCATTCAGTGTTTCTTCTTGAGAAATAACACTTCTTGACGCTTTCGTTGTGTTTGAACTCTTTCTTGGTGATTCGCATGCAGGAACATCCTTACTGCGTTCTAAATCCGTCTCGTACACAACAGAAGGCTCGTCGCGCCTTGGCGAAGAGAGCTTTCTAAAGGCAGTTGACACGATACTCATTTCATCACCGTTAGTGATCAACACTTCATCATCTGAATCGGTCTTGATGATGGGCATGTCCAATGCAGGCTCCACCTCGCTCTCAGTTTGCTCACACGAGCTTCTTGAGTCCCGAGATAGAGACGACTGGCATGTGCCCTTCGACAAGTTTTCAGGACTAACAAAGTATTTGTTCGAAACGGAACTTGTGAAGCTACCTGGACTTTTCGTGACACAGCTTGGTGATACAGCTGGTGAAACGGAGAGGCGATTCTTGCTCTTGAAGAATGGAGGAGACGAAGATGTTGGAGTGAAGGAAGGCGATTTACCCTGATTATATGTTGAAATAGTAGGAGTTGATTGAATAACCTGAAGAGGAGACTTTCCAGATGATCCGTGATCAACAGTAGACGACATGATAAGATTCATACCAATTTCACCCGCGATGGTCACATCTATATCTGTAGCAGGGTGTTTATTACGGTCACGACTGCGATGCCGTGACCGAACCACGTCCCTGTCCCTGTGCTTCTTCTTTTTCTTCTTATCTTTGCGGGAATGTTCTCGGTGATCTGAGTCAATGATGAGATCATCATCGGAATAACGGAAAAGGTCTGTTCCACTACTCTCAACAATATTTTCTTTTTCGTCCTTTGCAGCAGTAGTTTGCGAGTAGAGATCATCGGCAGTGCTGCCAGTACTGCTGGTGCTCGAGCTGCTACTACCAACTCCACTACTTCCTTTGCCTGAGTCGGACGTGGGCCGTACGTCCTCGAGAACATCAGCAGTGGTGGAGATGACAGTAATTCGATGCAATGACTTCTTGCTGCTATCGTTAACGATCTCTTCGATTATCTTTGGCGCATCTTCTTCACATGGCTTGTCAGAAAACGTGTAACCATGACCGTGTGTTCTCATATCATCCTCCGAGTCAGTATAGTGGTTCAAGACTGGGTTTTGAGAAGGAGACATTGGCAAATCTCCAGGTGAAGGGTAAGATCTTGTAGAAGATAAGGATGTTTTTCTAAACGTAGCAGGAGTATGAGGTACGCCGCGCGGTGACTTGTTGGGTGTTACGGAAGAGCTAGCAGTGCTCGCATCGCTGTCGTCCGACATTATACCAAATATGGCTTCCATTCTCACGTCTCGTCTTACTCTCTCTTTGTTGGCAAGTTTGACTTTGGCTGGACGGTCCCAACGAGAGGTGTTTGATACGACGCTTATTTCAGTAGCCTCTGCTTTACTCTTAGGTTTACAAGGCTTTACCTCTTCTATGACTGGAGTATCACTATCTTCTGAATGGAACATGTCACCAGTGAGCGAGTGGATTGGGTTAGGTTTCCTTCTATCGGCATCGCAAGGAGTTCTCAGATGGCCTGCTGATAGTGCGGGACGGGGTGGTTTCTTCGACAGAATCTCTTGTTTGTCATTAGATGGTGAGTTCTTAGAGTGGTGTTTCTTACTTGGAACGATATCGTAGTCTGACATGTCTTCAGATTTGGCAGCGACGTCCTCGTCAGATGATATGTCAGAAACCACAAGATCCTTAACAGGGCGTGAGGATTTAACTTCGGTTATACTTTTCTTGTTTCTATTACTACTGCTGGAGCTGGTATTGCGTTTCCTTGTCGAGGTTTGAGGCTTGCGTATTTCACTGCGCGGTGACAGTTGTCCGGCGTCCGACTCGTCAGATGATACGTGAGCCAACGAAGGCCTGTCGTCGTCTGTGCTACTTGCGACAACACGTGGGTTAACTCTTTTGTTGTTTACGATGTCTTCATAGGTATCGGAGTCCGACTCGCCAACACCAGACAACGTAGCTTGTGAAGTTGATTTTTTCTTCTTGCCACGCTGCTTCTGCTTGTGCTGTAAAATGGATTTCTGCTTTGCTTCTTCTTTAAGTCTCTCTTGTTCTCTTTTCTTCTGTTCCAATTTCAGATGTCTTGATTTCACCTTGTCGTACATATCGAAACACGGATCAATAACAGGATCGTCGAAGAGTGAGGCCATCTTTTGGTGGTCGTCATCGTCATCCGATGAGGAGCTCGAGCTAACGATGTCATCAGAATCTGAATCTGAGGCCATGCAATCTTTAGATTGAAGACGTTTCTTGTTTTTAGACTTAGAAGAGGCAGAGTTGCGGATATTTTGCGTCTGTTTGCTGCTGTATGGATGGGAGTTTTTGAAGGTTTCGTCTTCAGATGTTTCATTCATAACATCGCACGAAAGCGAATGACGCAACGGCAGAGCAATGTTGCATTCTTCACTGTCCTCATCTTTACTTCGGACGTGGTAACTACTTTTCTTCATGTCGTATTTTGGTAGCTTTGTGGAGTCCAAATCACGCTTGCCCTTACTTTCGGTTTCTGTTTTATCGCTTCTACCTGAATCGTGTTTCTTGCGGCCTGGCAAAAGCAGTTCTTTGCTATCCAAGCCGTCAACTGAACGACGTCTACTTGAAACAGAACTTCGTGCGTCGGCAGAGGGAACAACAGTGAAAGTGGGTGGTTCTTGTGATTCAGGAGCATGAGCAGGTGACGACAAAGGCCGATCGTTCTGAAACACGGCACTTAAACTGCTACTGCTTGACTCTCTGCGTTCTCGTCGGCCACTTTTCACGCTTGTGGTTGAAGATTCAGAATGTTTACTTTTACGGGACCGTTTATCTCCTCCACGATGCCCGCTGCTGCTGTACTTGTTGCCGCTACGTTCTTCTTTGTTTGAGACATTTTCACAGTTAGACAATTTAACAGCTTTAATTTTATCCTTTTCTCCTGCGTTGGGCACATTATCATGTTTATTCTTTGAATTGCCTTTTTCCGTTTTCTCTTTACATCGTTCTTTCTTAAGTTCTCTTGACTGCACATCATCAGAATTTCTTCTCTTGACCTCATGCTTCACTGCATCGTCGGCTGCCAATTGTCCGATGTTGCGACACGTATCCTCATGATCAGTTTTCCTCACAAAAGTTGGCGACTCGCACTTTTCTTTGATGTCACTGTCTTCTTGCTTGACTTCTCTGTGCTTAGGCGCATCCTTCTTCAATTCTCGGTATCTATCATGATGTTCTGGAATCTCTTTATCAGGAGGTGTTCGCATCTGGTCAGTTTTCTTGCTCTCACAGTTCACTTTACGGACTATCTTAGACATATCGGTAAGAACACGAGTGCCAGACGATTTCTTCTCAAGAGGTAGCTCAACGGATTCCTCCTTAACTGCTAATTTAGAACCACTAACGCTTTCGAGATTAGGAGAGTTTGGACGTTCAATTTTTGGAAAGCAGAGATTCTCCTGTGTAGGTGAAGAAATATTTTCAGTTTTAGGTGAACTATGGTTTTCCACTTTGGAGGAATATAAATTGTGATGTTTGGGTGAAGAAACGCCTTCTGTCTTCCTTCGGTCTCCACTACGACCGGACCAATTGCGTTCGCGGCTTTTAGGAGGCTTTTCATTTTGTCTCTCCTTCCCGTTGTGATTTTTCTCTCTGCGTTTACCTTTCTTGTTAATTTTCCGACTTTCGGTACGATCTTTGAATGAATTTTGTTTCTTATGAAGATACTTACATGAATCAACATTTACATCATTATTCAATTTATTCTGATCATCATACTTGTGACTTTCGGCATTTAGAACACCATCCTTGACATGTTCGTTGTATTCGCATCCTTTTGCGAAATCAGGCCGGCCGGATTCAGATTTTTCAGAAGTGCTGTTCATCCTCATCTTCTTCGAGTACTGATGAGTGCGGGTATTTTTAATAGCCTTGTTACGTGAAGTATTCTCAACATCAGGCTTACACGTGTCTTCTGCAGAGCCTAGTCTCCTTTTCTTAGTCGACACTTCTTCTGCAGTGTCAACGACGGATTGATTACCCCAGCATGGCGAGACTGTGTCTTCGTCTCCGTAATCTTCATTTGAATTTTGCAAGTTCTTGATATCATCCGAAGCACAAGGATTTCTATCTTGCCCTTTGTTCACTTCCTTGTGTATCAGAGGTTGCCTGGACTTGCTTTCTGTAGCCTTGTCCCGAGATTTGGACGGAGGAGACGTTCTAACAATGCTGTTTGAAATGGTATCACAAGGTGGAGATGTTTCATTAATTTGGTTTTTATCTGTAGAATCAGGCACTGTTTCAGATTGATGAACATTCGACCGTAAATCCCAATCCTTAACAGGAAGTTGTTGACTGTCTTCAAGAACAAAAGAGTCATCACCTTTATCGTTTAAAACTGAAGAGGAAGAAGAAGTCTTGCTAATCGTCCCAGGAGAGCAATCAACTGAAGAAACTTCTTCCGCCTTAGATTCAAGATCAGTACATGCGATGATGTCTTCCTTGGTTCGTCGCGGGGACCCGCTACTTTTTCTGATAGGTGTTGAGTTGCCTGTGCTTGTAGGCGAAAGTGATGACAAGCTACCGAAACTTGAGGGCGATGCCATAAAATCAATAGAGAGCGTAGCAGCTTGCGTTACGCTCGCGGCTGGGGGTACCGAAGCTGCCGGACTAGCAGGCATGGGAGAAACAGGGAGGGCGCAGGTGTAGTCTGGGCTGTCTGTAGGGCTGTAAAAACTCTTGACGGAGCTCGATGATACAGTTTTGCATAATAGAGATGAGGAGATCGAATCACGTCGCCCCTTTGGAGAAGAGTTGGTTGACTTGTTGCGATGTCCTGGAGAGTTTTGCGGTGATGATGACACAGACGAAAGAGTTGGAGATACTTTGATGTCTGCATTATTACTATTGCTCACATCAAGTAGTGACGGTCTGAAGCCAGGCAAGCTGTTGATAGGAGTAGCTGAAGGGATGGGAGGCGTGGTGGCAGCAATAATATCAGCGATGGTAACAGGCGGGGTGAGCGGAGAACAGAGTGACCTCATGGGCGACGTGCGTACCGCAACTACAGATGAATTGCTGTTGCTTATGGTCGTGTTCGTTGTAGACGTGATGGAAGGGCTCTTGCTAACCGTTAGCTTACAAGTTGTTGTGACAGAGACACTAGTGAGGCTGCTGCTAACAGCACATATCGAAGAGCTGTTTGGTGTGCTGCTTGGAGATCCTTTCGTTGCAGCACTCTCAGTAGCAGTTGTATTGACTGAAGATGTTGCATCGTGAATGGCAGAATCAAGTTTGGACGGCAAAATGTTAGTAAATGTCTTTATGGGAGAACCAACACTAGTATTGACACTTGGAAATGAAACACTACTCTTACTAACCACAACTGGAGATGCTTTGCCGGTAGTGTATGTGTTGCTTAAAACATTAGTAACTGTAGAGGTAGATCTGTTCTTGCCGAGTGACACAAAAACTTTAGGTTCATACTTTTCCTCAATGTTTTCTAATCTTTCACAATCTTCGTCGAATATACTTCTCCTGGAGAGTACTGACTTTACAATAGCGGACGGCGTATTGCGTAATGCATCCAAATCTACTGGGAATTTTCTACAAGGAATCGAACTAGTTGATATTTTGTCTCTTACATTTTCTAGGGAAAAATTGGCTCGAGAATTACCAGTCCATTTTTCGTAGCGCTCATCAAAAGCTCGTATTCTCTCCTCCAATTCGGCATCTTGTTTCGTTGAGGCGATAGGCGAGTCCTCAGAGTCCGAGGGATGCGCAGTAGGTCCTGGTGAAACAGGCGTATCAGCTAATATTGATCCATCCTCTACAACAGCGCACGTCGTATCTACTATAAGATTAGCAGTTCTGGTACTGACGCTACTTTCAATGCTACTACTGCTACTACTGCTGCTGCTGCTTGATGAAATGGGGGACCTTAGCACGCGACACTTTGGAGAACTTGCAAATGAAGCAAAAGGCGAAACGGGACAATTCCGCAGCTGCTGCGCAAAACGAGGGAGGGGCAAGGACATGGGGATGGTGGGACCACTGCGCTCCTTGTGAGCAGATTGCTGATGGTAAGGATGTTGGTGATGGATATAATGGCGATGATACCCAACTCCAGTGTTACTGCTAGGAGTACACTCGTCCCTTTCATCCCGAACCGGAGTGCCAGGAGCGCTCGTGTCGCTCACACAATCAAAATTTTCGCCAGTATCTCTAGCCTTCCACGCTTCCTCATTTCTACTGCGCGGGTCAATATGAGGAGAGCGTTCATCACGACGGTACTTCGAACCTGAAGGCTCAGTGGGAGTTTTCCTTGCATCGTGCGGACGTCTAAAACTCAATGGGTCGCGACAATCACTGCTGTCAAGCATCCTCTTAAGCACATGTGATTTATCGTGGCTACTAGAGTCAAAACGAGTGCGCTTGATGGGCCTCGACTCTGTGACGTCACTGCGTTCGTCTCCTGATGAACTAAGTGCGTCATCACGCTTGTTCGCGAGTCTTGGGTCGTAAGGCTCACGGTGACCACTGGCAGGAGACGACTCAACGGTCCGACCGAGAGAGCGTCCAGGAGACTCGAGGGGCCTTCGGTCGCTTACGCGCACCACCAGGTCCTTGAGGTCGATAGGACGCCGTTTACGAGGGTCGGGTGGAGCACGGTCATCAATGAGCGTAACTTCCCTGGATGGCGACGTAGCGAGAGAAGCGGCGGGTGAGCGTGACGATGCGAGACGATTTTTGACGGACCGAGAGGGTGGAGGTGATGAGACGCTTGAGGGAGAATAGCAGCCGTCATAGTTGACGACGTGAGAAGAGGAGCGGGACGAGGCGTAGTCATCATAGGGAGGGAACGGTGTGCGATGAGATGGACTACATGTGGTAGCGGCTACCACAACAGAACTGCCACTGTTCGCCGATGTGGCAGTAACTGTGGTAGAAGCAGGCTGCGGCGAGGTTGTTGGGGTGCGGCCACCACGTCTGGCGGCCACTGAATCGTATCTGCTGCCCGCGTACTCCCGAAGCTCGCGCTCGTAGCTGTCCTCGTAAGAAGCTTCGCTGCCTTGACTATACTCGTCGTAACTCCGTCTGCAACACATGAAAAACTTGTAAACATCTTAATAATCATAAGTAATATCCTGAATGCCAATTAATATCCTAACTGCCCTATATGAACGTCCAAGTATAAAATACACCATGCATCTGAAAGATTTCTATTTAAAACCGACGCATTGAAAAAAACGCAGAAGAAATGTATCAACAACCACAAACAGAGCAGTTTGGTACCTACCCAGGACCGTAGTCATCGAAGCCATCATATCTGTTGTTAGCTCTGTTTGGACGCGAAGTGTACGATCCTCTAGAAGGTCCTGAGGCAGGCAAGCCTGAGCGAGTAGCAGCAGAGGAGGAAGTAGAAGTAGTTCCAGCTCCTCCATAGGGCGGATAAGCCGGTGCAGAGCTTCCGTTGCTTGTCGAGAGAGGCTGATCAAGAGGTGAGATAGCGACAGAAGTGGAAACTGAGGGAAGAGCAGACGCCCCAGCACTGGCTGACGCTACCGTAACCGCTGTGGATGAACCTTGCTGGCGACGACTACGAGTGGAAGAATTGGAGCTGTTGCTGCTGCTACTCAGGCAGTGCTGCACTTCAGTGCCTCCAGGTCGAGGGTAGCGGCTGCTACTGGTTGCGCTGCTTGCATTGCTGGAAGTGGCAGTAGCAGCTGCTGCAGCGATGGCAGGAGCAGTAGCAGAAGAATCGTATCGGCTGCTCGCGCCATTGCTGGCGGCGTTCGCATTGCTGCCAATCTGACGTTCTCTGTTGAGCAAGATTTTAGTGCTTAATGTAATTGCGATTATTTATTTTGCATTTATTAATCTCGCATAAAAGTTTATGTATCAATAATTCACTATTCTAGGCAATTCAACACTCGATTCAACATCGGACTTCAACATGCCAAGAGAAAACTTTGTGATATATGATACCTATCAACAATGGTCGATTATATTCTTTCTAAGCTATGCCACAATTTTAGAACATTTATCTAGACAAAACCAATATATTTTGGAAGAGAGGCCCATAGATTCATGCATTTCTTTATTAAACAAGTTATTTATGTTATAATAGCTACGATTTTGCCTTATCATGTAGGGATTAAACCAGAGCTCGTGCACAATGATACTAACTTGGAGGAGACACGTTCCCAGGGACGCTCGGTGGGCATGTGGAAGCCTTGTTTGGTGAGGTGGTCAAAAAAAGCAACCTCGCACTCACGAGATGCGAAGTCGATTTGAAGCTTTTTGCCCATGAGCATTCGACCACGCATCTCGCTCACAGCGATCGTGGCGTACTTCTCCTGGAACAAGTAGAGAATATAGTAAATTATCGTATCACTACGATTGAGAGTTACGACGTTTTTTGGATACGACGCGGCTCATTCGGCGTATTTGGATACGGCGGCTCATTCATACAATCGCCTTTTCTTAACACTGTACTCAGTTACAGGAGGAAAACTAATCTACGGTTCCTCTAAAATCTAAATTGTTGCTCCCATACGCACGGTAAAGTTCATTGCTACCAGTTGAGTTAAAAATAATTCACCATCACTGAGATGGAAGTGGATATCCTAAGGCAATCTGATTATGAAAAAAAAACCTCTCGCTGGGTATTTCGAGCGAAATGCTTGTCGTACGGTACAGTTAATATGAAAAGGTACTATATAAATGCATGGTCCAGTTTGCGTCGAAAATCGATTTACAACGCCGTGTAAAAACTGACCAACGTCATACGTGATATGTCTAATACAATCTTTATAGTAAAGCTTAAATGGCATTTCAGAGGAGCTCTCAGCAACAAAATTGAAGCATAGAAGACTCATGAGTGACCACTGGAGGTCATTTGCACCCTTTTAATTTTGTCGAGAATTCCAACGACAAATTAATAGATTCATACGTGAAGTTCGGGTGAGAAAAGTGCCCTAGTACAATCAAATAATCCCTTAAAAATTATCGAATAATAAACACATGAAGTTTGAAGCTTGCATACAGATTAACAGATTAAACGATTGGAAATCAGAATGAGTAAAAAAAAATTACAAATTAGGTTTAGTGACTTCAAATGAATTAAATAAATAAATAATATTCAAGTTTAAATTAAATTAAATTAAATTAAATGAAATCATCAATAGAGTATCAGAGACAGAGACTTTCTTAACTGAACAACTCACGGCTTCGTAAAAGACGAGTGCCTGTCCTCTCTTCCTATCAATGAAGAGATGGCTGACCGTGCCGTATATGGAGAATTGCTCACGCAGGAACGACTCGGCCACCGTCTCCGCGACACCGTCGAGCCACACGCAGTGCGTGGGCATGCACTTGCCAAAACCAAGCTTGATTCTGTTCGCACCGAGATGTTCGCCATCCATTTGGCGCATGGCGCGGACCACGCTTCTGATATCCGCGTATTGGCAAAATGCAAAAGTTGCCAAGTTCTGCTTCTTTATCTCGATTTCCTGCAAAATAAAATAGCTAGGTAATCAAGCAGAAATTGCGCAGTAAAAATAACTCTCGTTAAGAATACATAGTTTAATAGCAAAGCTTTCATTAACTACTGTTTACAAGATTGGACCCGCGGTTCAAATATATAAGATTAGCTGAGTCACAAATTCAACTTCTGAACGTTACGATGTGAAAGAAAAACACAAGTTCAAGTGCAACGCGCCCAAGTATTACGAAGATTACCGTCCAGGGCCTATACTTTCAAAAAAAGTTAAGAGATCGTAAGTTTATCAGCCAATCATTGACGGCCTTTCAAGTCAAATCCACCAATCATAGACCAGAAAATAGAGCGTAAGTACTTACGTTCACTTAGCGAGTTTTGAAAGTATGGCCCCTGATATATATAAATCAGCATCGAACTCACAATTATTTCGCCGAATTGGTCAAAGGTGCTCCTGAGAACGGCCGGTGTGATATCTTTCTCGAGGTTGCCGATGAAGAGCGTGCGTGTTGCTTTGTGGTGATACTCGTCCTGGTCAACGTCATATGTGCGATACTCGCTCTCGTCCAGCTCGAGTCCTTCGTGGGGTGCCACCTGTCGTGTATGTAAACGACATAGTCATCTTTCTGTATACTTGTATACAAAGATACTGAATGCTGTACATCCATAGTATCTGTGCTCGTGTGCATCTGGCATGATCACACAAGTATGTCTAATTGGTGAAAATCTCGATCTGTTCTAATTGTTGATGCAATTACAATCATACACAAAATACCCCATTAATATAACAAAAAAACTTTCAAAATAATCGTAATTAATATCCCTAATTTCTCATATTACTGAACGACTACTTGTTATGTCTGACCTGTATCTTGACCCCAAAGAATCTTTTATCGTGAGAAGCAAGCAACGCTTTCTCGGCATCTTCGGCTTTTTTGAAGCACACGACGGCATAGCGCTCAGTACCAGTACCCACGATGCGCACAGTCGTCACCTTGCCGTGCTTCTTGTAGTCGTGGAAGAGCCCATCTTTCAAGGATATGTCTGCGTGGGTGGAAGATACACAACGATATTACATCAATTTGACAGCGCTTACTCACCACTACTCGAGCTCTTTCAGAGTTTAATAGGTTAAGACTGCTGGGAGTAACGACGTCAAAGTAACTTGTAACTAAGGAAAATTTTTAAAATCAATCAACAATACAAAACTGACTGCGTAGTTTTCAATTTAAAAATTCAAGTTTCCAATGTAAACAAATGGAAATAAGGTCTTCCGAAAAACATTATTGTAGTTCGACTATAACAATATATCTAAATTTAATAACAACTTACAGTCAAACTTAAAACATTGGTTTAATCACGGATGTTTTATCGAAATTGAACAAGTGGTATGCAAGTAAGTGTTAGTTGTAAATCAATAGGAAATGTGTTAGATATGTCGGTTGTAAACACCACCTGTAGAGCCAATAGGGAGGTTGCGCACGCAGATGGCAAGAGGTCTCTTGTCGCCAGGCAGATGCGTGGCGGCCGTAGCTGAAGAGTTGCAGTTCAGAGAAGAGTTGGGGACGCGTGCCACGGGAGATCTGGACGGTGATCGCGACGATCTAAAAGATCTCGAGCGAGATCTGCTCGAGCTAGAACTAGAAGAACTAGACGAACTACTGGAACTGCTGCTGCGACTTGATGAGCCTGAATCTGAGCTGGAGTGATTTGCTAAGGCAGCAGGTGCAGGGTGGCGCTTAGGGTTGCTACTAGATGAGTGGTGAGAGCCTCCCAGTCCACTCCCGCTTGTGGAGCTCGGAGTGGCTCTTGAGGACCGCATGTGAGTGGAGCGGGATGAGGGTGACGGGGGCACAGAACCCCGTCGCACAGACATCGAAAGCTTGTCGTCTCCATAATTGTCAGCGGGGTGGTATCTGAAACCATTAACGCAAACTCGTTCGATTAATGAATTAAATAAATTAACTAACCAGAACTTCGAAAGATACTACACACATGCGGACCTAATTGACGACACCTAAAATATAATACTGGACATTGGCTTCAGCAGGATGCTTCATTACAATAGTGGTCTCTATGGAAAGATTGACGGTGAGTTTGGACTGACCTGTAATTACTGGGAGGAGCAGCGCTCGGCCATCGGTAGTCGATTGGGTCCCCCCGAGGAGTCGTGCAATACTGCACGCGACCGAAGGAACGCAATCGACCACCTCGTGCCCCGAACTCTGCTCCTTCGAGGGAAGGCGGGTAGTTGCGTCGCATGGGCACCCCCATGGGCATGGTGCCGTTATAGGAACAAACATCATCACGACGGACACTATCGTAAAAATGACTAGAGCGATCGTAGCCCACGTGATCATCGGATATTCTGCCCACAAGAATAAAAAAGTAAACTTAGTCGTGATGGTTGATATATGATTAACTACATAAAAAACTTTTTCATAATATAACGAAGTCAAATGACAGGCTGAGGACACGCAACGGACACTACCGATTTGCCAGCAAACATTCTTGATCGTACCTAAATAACTGGACATCATCCACACTGTAGTCATATCAACAAAAACGCAGGCATCAACTAGTTTGGCAGATGATCAAACAAACCACATTACAGCGGTGCCATGCATCAAAGAGTAAAAATAAGGGTTTCATGAGATTAGAAAAAATAATCCGAAACTATACTATGAAACGAAATGTGCCGATTATAGGCATTTCCTTATAAACGAATTGACAGCATTTGCGAGAGTATCGGCAAACAATACGGCTGTAAAAGTTCACTCGCCTCAATGTTTATAAGCCTATTTCTTTAAACTAAACTTCGATTTTCATGTTATGAAAATACTCATTTGATTCGCATTCTAAGGTAAAAATTAAATTCGTACGCTTTTTTATCGAACTAGTTATCGCGCATAACAAATACTAAGCGTTGTTCGGTTATGGTTCAAAAGCAGGGACGATTTGACAGAAATTGCATGCAACAGATGTGGTAAGTTTGTAACGAAGACACAACTGATTAAGCTTTAAAATCTATATGAAGAAGTTATATATAACATACATAAATATGTTGCCACTATTTATAAAACGGCAACAGGAGTATAAAGAAGAAAATTTTACGATGGAGGCAAAACAAAAAAGCGCACAAGTGTTCTATATATTTCAGGTTATATTGCTGCACAAGAGGCGACTCATATAATTCATATTCGCATGAAGCTTTTTTTAATGAATTGTTCAGTGAAAACGTCTAAAAAATTAACACTGTCATGATAATTGTTACCTAATCAATGGACATTTGGAAAAGAGCCAGCAATTTGAAATTGTAGACGCTCAAACACGAAAATTCGTAACAATGTAGAATCGACATCAGCCCAAAAACGTCAACAGTAAAACTTGCCTCAAATGAACAAAATTTATACGCAGGAACAGTTCGTTGGAATAAGCTTGACACGTAGAAATTCCCGGAATCTGGGGAGCATGTTTTGGACCAGTTTTCTACGAAAATGAATTTTAAAATGGCCAAAATGCGAATGGGCGGCTTTCCTTTGCCTGCATTAGATTGAGCACGCACAGAGATTCTATAAAGAGGCGCAGAAAAAGAAAGAATGCACAGAGGCTGAATGCATCCGCCTTAAAGGCGATGGTTCAGAGCATCTTCTTCAGTACTCCCACATGCTCAGGGCAGTTTTGATCAAATGGATGATACACCATTTCCCGTGAAGAAAGGATTGATATAAGCAGCTATACGAGGTACTCTCTTTCTCTTCCAGAATAAATGTCACTGTTAATACAAATGTAGGCTTTCTTCACACCTTATGCCTAAATATACATTAACTGAACGAGAGGTTAAGTAGCACATTATTATAACTCTTAACAGAATAAAGAGGTAGAAGCATGAAAGAAACTATGACTCACTTAACATGTGTTTAAAGTAACAGTGAAGCCATTATAAATCGTCGTACCAAATGAAATGAACGGAAATGCACGCAAGTTAGCGGTGAACGATCCTTGTATTATATTACATGGCCTCATTAACCACCTAAGGCGTTGAATTATAGCACAAGTCTGCCGGGAGCTTGTATCAACAATCAGTCGACTGCAACTGAGTTGAGGCCTTCAGGACAGGATCAAATGTTATGACGCAAATGAGGCAAATTCGGTCAGACTTTGATGCACGTGTACACTTGTATTACACGGCACAACGACGAATTGGTGTCGCAACCTGGGCACACAGAGCAGTGACGCGGGATGAGCACAGCGCTAAAGCTGTGCATCATTTGGAGCTGTCATGTGATGAGGGGAGGAGAGGGAGCGAGGGAGAGGTGCGGGGTGGAGGTGTAAGGTGACCTCTGCACTATAACACGAGCCGCGAGGTCGATACAACGGGTCGCTGGTGGGGAGGGGAGCCGGGGAGTGGAGCAGGGGAGTAGTGGGGGAGGGGAGCAG